CCCCTCAGCTGATTAGCTTGCGGATTCACAACCCTTGCGTAAATTGACCCTGCAGCCCACTGCTGTGTGCTTCCTAATAAATCTCCATCCGCTGGCCAGGAGCAGCAAACAGCGACTTGTTTATTGGAGCAGAGGGTGTCTCTTAATCACCAACAAGAGGACACCAGTCGCTTTAATGGAATTGTTTTTCAGAGATTACGGAGCTTTAAACCTTGTACCACCTGTCTGTTCTGACTGATTAGCTATTCTTTCAGATAAGGTTGATGTGCAATATTTAAGTGCACGTCCATATGGCAGAGCCAGGTCCCTGATCTGGACAATAGGAACGTATCCACTTTATAAGCAGCTTCTGTTTCTGGCTCCAGGTGGTACACGGAAAGGCTCATGAACTCTGAGCTTTACTTTGTACTGAATTTCCTTTCCCAGCAGATTGAATCTCTCCTATTCTACCTGCTCGGCATTTTTTTTAAAAAACTTATTCCACGTTTATTTCAAATTGGATAGTAATTCCTTGTAAAAAAAAAATTAATAATGTGGTCACTCAATCCACCACTGTTTGTGGGACACTGCTGTGTGCAATTGGCTGCCATGTTTCACCCACAAATTACACAGTCGATCCAATTTACTGTGTATACATATGATGTGAAGCTCTTTGAGACATATCAACAACGTGATAAGGTGCTGTATCAAATGCAAGGATTATTAATTATTATTATTAGTCCCCAAGTATATCTGTTTTGAGGCTTAGCAGATTATTTCTGAAGCTGCCAAAATATATAGCAATAATAATCCTTGCATTTGATGTAGCTGCTTATCACTTAATCAAAATGTCTCCAAGCACTTCACATTATAGTATAAAGTAGAATGACTGAGTATATTGTAGGCAAACACAATTTATAGCAGTCCCACAAAGACCCATGAAGTCAATGATCAATTTTATATAAGGGATTTTTGGCTGAGATACTGGGAGAAACCTTTCAAGTTAGTGGCCCAGGATCTTTAATGTCCACCACAACAGGCAGATGGGACCTCGGTTTAAAGTCTCAACTGAAGGACAGCACCTCCAACAACATAGCGCTGTATTGGAGTCTCACCTCGAGTATGAGACTCAAAGTTCTGACTTGGGGTTTGAACCTGCAACCTTCTGACCTGGACGTGGCAGTTCTTCTAACTGAGCCGGGTTGACACCTATGTGAAAGGGAGCACTGTGTAAATCACTGTGGAAGTGCAGCTAGTCACCTGAACGGCGTAGGAAGAGCACACAGTTATATGCTGGGGCGGAGGTCGCACTAATAGGTGAAGCATTAACTTGCTAAGATCTCGGTTATCAGTACTTAGTGATAGTTTAGCACATTGTAAACGAGGTGGGTTCAAAAGTTATCAAGGGATATGGATCCAGACCAGATTTGAAGCCTGGGCAAATAATGGTTGTTTGTATCTGGCAATGAGTGCCCGTCTTAGTTTCCTAGAGGGTGAGATGGCAGTCTGACATTTGGCTGAAGATTAGCTGTGCGATCAAAGGAACAGATCGCCTGTTCTGTCAGCTGCAGTGTTTCTGACTCAGTGAGGAGTACGGAAGCCGAGCGCTTTCTCTCCTCCCTTCGTCTCTGAACAACTGCTTCCCCCACACGGCCCCAATAATAATCGTAAGAAGAAGGAGAATCGTTGCATGTGTGCATTTGATGTGGTGCCTTTCTCGTCAGGAGGGCGTCTCAAAGCGCCTCAGGGTTTAGAGTGTGAGGTGTAGAGACTGTGTATTTTTGCAGCCGGTTTTCCTTGAGCTCGATTAGCGACGCGGGACCTTAGGGGGAGCGTCGCTCGTTAACATCTGTCACGGTTTTAAAAATTAATGTGCAAAAAGCCACGCTTAAGTGAAGCAGCAGTGCGTGAACCTCATCAGAAATCGCCTCACTCTTGCAAGTATACCCTGCGCTCTCTAGCTTGAACCTCCTTAACCCTGCGTTCAGTGCGCTGGGGGCGGGAGGGGGTAAGGATGGAGGAGTCGAGGTTGGAGCGAAACCAAATGAGGTGTCATTGAGTCTTTAAGATTCCGTGTTTGCTTTTAATCCCAAGCTGCTGTTAATATAAAAATCCCTATCAGACCTCCACTTTGATATGACTTAGCGTGCTTTCTTTGTTAGGTCGCTACGGTAACAGTGCAAGCAGTGTTGGTATTCTTGCACCTCAACTCCCACAACTCAAACCTCGCTCTCGGTGATAAGTTCAGGAGGGCTGACTGATCCACTCGACCCTGCCCAACCCTAATATTTCACTGTTCAAAGGGCGAGCGTCAGTGGTTTTGAAAGAAATGCCCCAGCGACTTGGGAAGGTTAATTAGTTTTTTTTTTAATTCACGGCAGCCTTTCATTCAAATGGCTATTCATTTCCCCAATTACTTTCGTTATTGCAGAATTGGTTGTTTTTGTGGAGCCGTAAATCCACCAGCTCCTCGTCCAGAACGCAAGCTTTATTGTTCCTCAAAGAGTGGCGTTAAATACCTGCCAGGGAGACGGTTTGCGCGGAATATAATTCCGACCCCGAGCCTTCCAATCTTGCACCAGGACCTTAAGTTCTGTCATACACGTTAAGAACAATTGTTTCTTTGTTCACTTAAATTCCCATTTTTTAACAAATTAAACTGCGCACTTGAAACTATTCAATAGTCCTCTTGTTCTATCATTCCTGGGGCAACAAGGGGACGGGTCGAAATTATGTTGTGTTATATTAAATGCAAGGATTATTATTATTTATCATGATTAATATTATTATTATCATCATTATCATCGTCTTGATGCATCCCAAATCCAATTCCATTTCCAATCCCATCTAAAATTATTGTTGGTTGATATTTGCAGAGTTCAGTGAACTGCTAGTGTACATCAGCTCCACCTTTGACTTCTATCTCTGCATATTAATTGTGGCATTTCTATTCCCTGTTCTCTTTATCCATCTGCCTCCTCCAATGATGTGAAGGAGTGTTGGTTACCATGATTCAATGCATTTGGTCTCGACTGCAGCCGCCAGCCCGGTTTTACTTTATTTCGGCAGATTTCCTCCAGTTTGACCAACGATAGCAGATTCCGTCAATCCTCGTCTTCCCTCTCTCTTCCCTTCAGCATCCGTGTGAAACTGCGGAGACCATTTTCATTTACTGATTGCATTTTAATGACCGTGATCCGTCAAGCTGTGGGAAATGGAATTTGCCTTGAATCACTGACATCACCCAGTGGGTTCGTTCTGTGCAGGATAGGTGGTGAATTAATTTTTTACAGAGCTACGATTTAATTACAGGCAGCCAGAAAGAGGATTACAACTGGTTAATGGTTTAATATAGGGCCCTGTAAAGAGCTAGTTTCCTCTCCAAAGCATTTCCAAAAACTGTAACTCACAAAGAAATAATGGTTTGGAGACTATTATATTCATGATGACAACGCACTTATTTAATGAGGAAGGGAAGTCTTAGGCGAGCACTTCCTGTTGAATGATGAGATGCCACCTGGAACTAAGATGTACGTAATTTCGACCCATCCCTTCTCCCTCCCCTTAACCCCCCCACCCTCCGGCCCATAAATGCCGCTCCGATGGATTCTTCTGAAGTGGCGTTCCCGCAGGGACCCGGGAATTATAACGTGATTCCTCCAGTTAAGAAGTTCCGGAAATTAGCCCCGTTGTAACAGACATCTTCCTGAAGTGCCCTTTGGTAATAAGGGAGCTGAATTCTGGTGAATCTCAGATGATAGCAATACCAGTGACAAATTTGTATGTGGTCTTTCTCATACAAAACATACTTTCTCACAGCACTTCATGCTAAATCGTGTGAAGCACTTTGAGACATCCTACCAACATGTAAGCCTCTCAATACAAGTGCAAGGATTATTACAGGGTTGTTATTGTGTGTACTATCCAGGGTAATGTACCCATTCTTTTAGAATTAGGAAAATATGTAAGATTTACCAAGATTGAAAGGAGAGGCTGGAGAGAGTTTGTCAGGGAGGCAGTGACATGGCATAAGTGCAAATTGAAAGCTTCAGCATGAATGGAAGATGACATTTCGAGCCTGAGTGAATCGGAAACAATACAACCAAAATCTCATGTGGAGCGTTGCCAAGCCAAGGTTAGTGCTGCAGATTAAATTAATGGCTGGCGACGAATAGGCTGGGGTTAGACTAATGCCTTCGGCTGAGTGGTACGAACCGGCAGACTGGAGTTACAATAACAGCTCTGCGCCACTCTCTTCCTTCCTCGCGCAGAGTGTACGTAGAGTGAAGCTCCGCAGTGGATATTGTTCAGTACCCACTGGTTAATGGACATGCTTTTAATGGTAGCTCCCAATGAAAGGGATCAGTCACTGAGACACTGACTCTTTTCTCTGGTTGCATAATAGGAGCAGGTAGATGAAGAGTACATTCTGTTCTGTGAAGACTATTACACTGTCTTTATATAGTGAAAATATTATCTACATCTTAGGCACTAGAAAGAGTCGTCCCATCCCCTAACCTGTCCCCCCACCCACCCTAAGGCTTTTGTTCTCCACGGAGGCCTGCAGCTCAGTGATTAGGGCACTCGTTTCGTAAGCGAGAGACCTGGGTTCAATCCCAGAAGGGCAAAACATTAGGCAATTTTTCTTACTCCACACACCTCTGTTTACCAAGCAGTAAATAGGAACCTGGTTGCTCGTTGAGTGACAGATCGCTTTTCCGGGGGAAATTATTTCTTCAAAATAAATAATAATAAATTGGTCACTCAATCCATGACTGTTTGTGGGACACTGCTGTGCGCAATTGGCTGCCGCGTTTCGCCCACAAAATATGCAATCAATTCACTTTACAGTATAGTCTGTGAAGCACTTTGAGACGTCTTGAAGATATGATAAGGCGCTGGGTCAAATGCAAGGATTATGATTATTATTATTGCTGCTGGTTGAAGCTTCTGCGATTGGGCCAAAACCAAACGAATGTTTCCATCTTGTTCAATTACGATGTGCGCCTGTTCCTTCACAGATGGTGGTCCTGATGGATCCAATGGAGGACCCTGATGACATTCTGCGAGCCAACCGCTCCCGAGAGAAATCGTACATGTTCGATGTGGCTTTGGATTATGAAGCAACACAGGTGAGCTTCACTATCGCCTGTTCTGTTGCTCCACATGAACCTCTAATGGAGAAGGAGGAGGAGGCAGAAATTGTGTGCAATGTTGGGCTGCCTGGCCCTTGTATATCTTTATCAATGTTTCCAGGTGTGGATGAATAATGTTAAAACCCCATGCAGTTCGCCAATACGAAGGCAATGGTTCATTCAGCTGGGGCCACGCTATTCATTACCACTTAGGCTCACCGAGTTGTGAGAGGTCAACACTTCCAGGTCTCATTGAGGGGCCCATACAGGCGAATGAGCCATCAATGTTGCTAGACAGGCCTTATAATAATAATACTTGCATTTGATATAGTGCCTTATCACGTCATTGAGACATTTCAAAGCGCTTCATAGAATATATTGTAAAGTGAACTGACTGTATTTTGTGGGTGAATTGCAGAGTAATTCCATTTCACTGGATATTACTTTACTAATCCACTCACCCCATACTTTATCGAAGTTTATTTAAAGTTAAAAAGAAACTCTGAATAAAGTTTGTGTGACGTGTTCTGAAAAGCTGAATCCCAGTTTGAGACAGATAAGATTTTGTGAGCCAGCCAAAGGCTGATACACTCTCATTCGTTCCTGCATCTGGTTTACTGTCAGAGAATCATCGGCCTTGCATCAAGAGTAACTGAAAGAACATTGTTGGAAAAGGAATACTGTAATATTGATGAATGTGAAAGTAGGAAAGAGTGAGGCATAGCATTCAAAACCCACAGCAAGATGAAACCAACAGCACGGTCAGTGAAACTAGGACAGGTTGTAAAGTCTTCACGACAGCAATTAATAATGACAAATTTACATATTCAACAAGGATGCTGAATTGCGTTAACCATTTCAGTGGAGGTAGAACAAAATCTAAACCACTTCCCCGCATACACACTCACATATTCCAAATAGTCCTGAGACTATCATCCCAGGTGGAAATTCCTATTGCACTCATGTGTCATTTCTGGCATCCAAGGTTCCAATAAATAACCATCGCGACTCAGTCAACACTTCTGTACATCCAGATTCCTGTGCAAGCAGCACGAGGGATTGCAATATCCTCATGTATTCACAAGCTCGTTAAAGCTTGGAATATCAGCGGCATTCTCTGTCTGGACAGAAATATGCAGAAATCCTGAAACATACAGAAAAATGTTGCTGAAAATCAGTGACTAATTTGGCGACTTTTGACAGTAAGACTCTCTGTTTAAGAGGAAATACTATTCAAGCCTTGTTAATAGAAGGGTATGTCCTTCCTTAGTGGGTTTCTCTGCTCAGGCACAAGTTCCTTGTTATTTAATCTGTGTCATGCGCTTGCTTCTATCTGGAGAAAGGCGACTAGGTATGAAACCATGAAGGTGATTGCGTTTCCCATTCACTCTCTGCGGGTCACATTACAATTTCAGATCAATGGGGTTGTTGTAATCAGATTCAGAGCTGACATTGATTTGGACTCCGTTTACAGACGTAAATAGGAGGCAGTGGACATTCAATCTACTGATCTAGATGCACAAGTTGGCTGCCGAATGTAAGCCGTATGTATGCCAACAACAACAGCAACGATTAGCATTTATATATAGTGCTCTTCACACGGGGTAGCGTCCCAGAGCGCTTAATTTCGGTCTTTTATTGAAGGCTGCAGTGTTCGACAAGTCGTGTTTAAAATCATTTCAGTTGAGTAAATGGGAAATGATTCATGATGTGTTGGTGTTGTGGCAGGTGCGTTCAATTTTGCGACTGAGATTGAGATGTGATGAAGGCCATTTTGCTTCTGAACGTGGCACGCCTCTGCTTCTCTGCCTCTGTTCATTCCTTCCACTCGAGTCGCAACGAGAGGACCCGCGCACACATCAGCACCAGCTACGAATTTGCTAACGCCTGCCTCGATCTTCGATAGTCATCGTGTTGTAAATGGGCACGCTAGATTAGTTTAAATTCAAGCTCTAAGCTTAAATGAGGAATGTGTGTGACTTTAGAGCTGTAAGCTGTTTTTTCAGAGGAAAGAGCTCGCTTGTTAAGTTGAGGTTTTTTTTAGAGAGAGAGGAGAGTAATGGGAATACTGCATTAAGTCCAATGCAGGCTATAAACCTCCCCTAAGGTTGCTTGATGCTGTCACAGGATGGAATGAACAAACACATTGCATTTCTTTGGCACTGCTGCCTGCAAGCAAACCCTCAGGACAACACTGTCTACTGCAATGTAAATTGTGACGCAGCAAATTATTATGCCAACTTGGACTATCCTGTAATTGTAAAATATTCATCTAATTCTAAAGATTTTTTTTAACAGAAACTTTTATTGCAATAGGTTTCTGAAAGCATGGAAGAAACGTGGGGAGTTATTTGCAAACGTATGACCCACACAATCAAGCAGAGCCCAGATTTGGCAATTTCATGTACCACTGCTTTTGACACGTACTGTTAAACATTGTTTGCTGCCAACAAACACTTGAAACTGTCCCACTGAATGGTAAAGCTGTGAGTTGCACAGACACGTAACGGTTCATCTGATCTCTGACCCCCTAAATCATAACTCCTTTGGGTTTCCAAGGAAATTTAAGTCACCCAGTTGTGTGCTTCGAGGGTGGGAGAATCGGTGGTTTGTACCACAATGCAAACCCAAATAGTTTTAGCAGCGATCATATATATCCCCGGTTTCAGATGCTAAGCCACTAGTTTGTACGTGTGGAGGCAATTCACTTAGTGTATGTCCGAGGCCACTTTTTATTGGGAGAGGGTTTAACCCTCCAAGCACTGAATTTCCATTTTCTTTTGCTAAAACTTTTGCACAAATTCATAATCTCTTTTTTTCAGCCAGAAAATTCTTAATGCTGCAAAAGAGCTGGCAAGTAACAACAACCTGCATTTATATAGCACCCCTCACACAGGCTAGCTTCTCAACGCGCTTGAAATATTAACAAACACATCTCCGTGCTACTTTTTAAAAGAGCAGGGAGTTGTGATTAGGATGGATGGCTTCTTAGAAGAAGAGCAAACACCGACATGCACAAAAATAGTTTGAATGGCCTCTGTCTGTGTTGTAACTGTCTGTGTTTCTGATTGCCATTGAATCAGAGTCATTAAGCAAAGACAGAGACAGCTTGTCTGTGATATTTGACCAAATTACGTCTATGTCTTTTTTCAAGGAGGACGTATACCGTGCTACAACCAAGGGTCTAATTGAGGGAATTATATCAGGCTACAATGCTACAGTGTTTGCCTACGGACCAACAGGTGGGCAGCATATCCTATACAGCCCAATTCTCTAACTGTCCAGTGCCTTGGAATCTTCCCGACGTGAAAGGCGTTATACAAATGTAATTTTGTATTGTATTCAGTAAACGTTGTATTCAGATTATTTACATTGTAGAGGAAGCAGAATATATTCCAATTTCAAATATAATTTTGTGGCTCCACTGTTGGCCAGATGGGTAAATGCACCCTCAGTAATGCCCTAGGCTGTTCAGACGAGAAGGTTGGTCTGTTCAAATCTTAGCTGGGCAGTGGTTTTGTGGGAGGGGGAAGCGACTACAATTGGACTCTTTGCTCATAGATTAGGGAGGGGGGAAATCAGATAGAATGCTCCTGACTAGACTCATCCTCGAGATGGACTTATGTGAGTGGCATGTTGAGAACGGGGTTGGGCTTAGGACTGTTGCCTCAGCAGAAGGAAAAGAGTCTAGTGCCTCCCAATAGAGGAGGAGAGAAAGATTAGCAGAAAATGAAACAAAACGGTACAATTTCCAATTTCCATTTCTTTGTGAAATGAAATTAATTCTGGCCATGTGGAAAGATACTGTTCCTATTTCCTGCTGATGATCTTCATGGCCCAGCAGCTCGATTAAGCCTTTAGCAATAACAGCAGGTCGTCTGCACAAAAGGCTTTCAATTATTCAAGCAATGAATGAAAGGGAAATGCTGTCCTTGCGGATTGACAGTTGTAGATATTGACTCACAATCCCGATTTTTTTTATTATTCGAACCGTAACCTGCAGATATTCATCCTAACCTGTGTTTCACTTGGAAATTTGGACAAACCCAATAAATTCTTGGTGCTGATAGACCTATGAATGAAATCGCTTGTGCTATTTTCACTGCAGTTGGGGAGCAACTCTTGCAAGAAGCCTGTCTGCTGTCAGACACCCTGATCAGCACTGTCGAATCGATCAGTGTGGGCTTTGAAATCTGCTTTAGAAATGGAGTAAAAGCTGTTTTGCAGACTGCCTGTTAGTAACATGGCAATGCCAGTCCCAACAGAAAGCAAACAGATCTCTCTATGATGACAGAGTGTAGTCTCTCCCCCCAAAATTTGTGTTGATGTCTCTCTGTATAAATACACACAACTCCAATAAACTGTTGCTTATCTTATCCAAGCTCATGGGCTCATTGACTTTCAGATAAGTATGGGGTAACAGGAGGAAAGGAAGGCAATACTGTTTACTTTATGCATGAGGTCAAGACCATTCTCACTTTATATGGTGTACTGAACACATGGAGATTACAGAATGCTGATGAGGGAGAGATGATTCCATCCTAGATGTTTAGTACGATTTATATGTGGCCTAACAGTGCTATTTGAAAACCATAGCATAGCATTTGGAACCATTTTAACCATGTAATTGTTGGACGATCACTGAAAGATCACTGCAGACCAGAAACAACATTAACAGAATATTGGATATACTGTATTTCAGGCTGTATTGCTGAATGTTTTAGTTATAGAGTAAAATCCACATAAGTCTCTTCTATATAAATTGCCTCAGTCGTATCGGCCCATGTTCCATTCAAGAGTTTGTATCCTATGGAAGATTGACATAAATCATACTTTGCATAAGTCATATTAAGTGTATGGTCTCAACTGATACGACTTATGTGAGGTGTACTGTGTGTGTGTTTGAGAGGACGAGCACAGTCTGGTTGCAAATCGATCTTTAAAGAGACAATTTTCCCAGCCAATTCTCTGCCTACGTCTCTATTGAGACACACTTGGTTACGCCATGTTTTTCGTTTAACTTATTTTAATTCTCTAGGTGCTGGGAAGACGTACACAATGCTGGGAACGGATTATGAACCCGGTATATATGTGCGAACGCTGAACGATTTGTTCAAGTCCATTGAGGAAACGAGTGATGACATGGAGTATACCGTTTCCATGTCATACCTAGAGGTTTGTATTGTATTAATAATGTGCAGGAGTTTTTTCTGACAATGCAGTGCTTCCCACAGTACTACTTGGGAGTGTTAGCCTAGGCTATGAGCCAAGTCCCAATGCAGAGCTTGAACTCACAACTTTCTATCTCAGAGGTTGGCAACCGAGAAATGACTGAGAAAATCTTCAAATACTGCACTCTCAAGCAGCGTTAGCTCCCTTTAGATGTGCTCCACAGTAGCCTCAACTAAATTGATGGGTAAATAAGTAAAAAGCCCAGGAAAATCAGAGGTATGATGAGTGCAGTATCCTCATATGCAACAAGATGCTCTCACATCCTATCGAGACTGAATTGTATTGGTTTCATGACTTGTTGCTAAACTGTTTACCTTCTGCCAACCTGCAGCTTGTTGTCTTTAAGATAATTGCCATAGAGACATCAGCCACTGGATGGAGTATAATAACATACCTCGATGGGTCAGGCTGAGCACATATCCCACGTCAGAAGAAGCTAAAGAACAGAGACCAAATTAAACTGTGTGTCGAGTGTATTCAGAGCCTTGTGCGTCAATAAAGTCAAACAAAATGCCAAAATTACCTTCCAAAGTCACCTGAGCATCAAGACAAACATCTTAACCCTGAATCAAATACGCTCGTCATAATTTCTATTCACTCAGTCAAACCCACCCTACACTCACCTATTTAAACTAAATAAGTTGTCTGGAAATGTGTTTTCCCACATCTTAGAAATCTTAACAATAATTTCCATTCCTGATGATGTCGGAGTATGTTGTTTATCTCTGGCTCCTGGTGTCTTGTACATCTGTGAATCTATTTTAAAAGTTTCTTAGAATTATATGTTATTGTACTAAATCAGTTAAAATTCATCACAATATGAGGAATCTGCTATGACTTTATAAGTAAATTATCACTGTGTCTGATTTACGTGGGCTTTTGGGGTGGAATATAGGGAGTGGTGGGGGAAAATCCCACTGGGTCTAAACTTAGACTCTTTCTCTCTTTGCACTTTAGAGTGTGCAAATTTTGGACGACCTTAAATTCACTCCACATTAAAGCCAGCTTTTTGTCGTTCATGAAATAATCTACAGAAAAAGAAGCTTCAAAAATTAGACTGTATTGTTAAAATGAAGAAATGCATCACGGAAATATTACTAAATAATCTTACAAGTTTGCTGCAGAACAGAGTTCATTTCTAATGGACAGATATGTGCTGTCAGTGTCGAGTGGGGTGTGGGGGCATGAGTGAGGTTTGTGTTGGGCGAGTTTATCGCAAACTCATTCAGGCAAATGGAGCCGTGTTTATTTTTAACAGCGAGGTACATTGTTTAAGCAAACTGAGTGATTGTCGCTCGAAATGAATGACATTTGATAGGTGCAATGCAACAGGTAGATAAGAATTCTGTTGACTTTTATTGAAATTTCGAAAAATCGCCTTGCAGGTTCCTGATCAGCTTTAGTTTGGCACTTCCATTGATTGCCCTGTGTTGTTGGAATCGCTGCACTTCTGTTGTCTGATTCATTATCCCTGAGTCTTATTGATAATGCTTCAAAGAAATGAAAGAAGCTGAGAGCAATACAAACATTTTATGATGTCGTTTATAGCTCAGTTATTAACACGGTCATTTTAAGCTTCAAATTGATCCAAGGTTCTGCCTCCCCTCAGAATTTGTCTACATATGCTGGATCAGCAAAGATGACACTAACCTAATGACCCAGATGTTGTCTATTTTGGTTTCCTGCGCTACCTGTTTTTTTATCCACATGCACAGTGAATGCAGAGGTGATGACCAGCAATTGTGCCCCATTATAGCTCTGGTTAGGATTTTATAGATTTCTCAAAATACCACGTTATATTAGGGCTCCACTGCATTGCGATGCTAAGGATTAAACTTCCCATTTGGATTCAATATGTTCCAAATTAAGATATCAAAAAACCCCTCCAAGTATTTGGCTGACCATATATTTGCTTCTCTCTGAGTATCTTTGTGATATATAGTTCATAGTCAGTAGTTTGGTAACAAGACAAGGACCTTTTCTGCTTTTCCCTTGAAAGTGCCAGACACAAATGATTATGGAATGTTTGGAACTTGTTTGGTAATGTTCTTTCTTTCACAGATTTATAACGAGATGATCCGGGATTTATTGAATCCGGTGTCTGGATTCCTTGATCTGCGGGAAGATTCCAAGGGCAGCATCCAGGTAGCGGGAATCACTGAAGTGTCAACGATTAATGCCAAAGAGGTAGGTGGGATGCAGCGGCTTTTCGTCTTATAAGGCCCTCCACTGTGTGCGCACATGATCCTGGAACCTTTCAGTGTTGGCTAATCCATAAATTCACTCTCTGTGTAACCAACCCAACTCCTCCCATCTTTCACATCCTTATTGCAGATTCTTTGACCCTAAACATGTTTTTAGGGATCGGTTTATCTCTACCCTTTAGAATTTTGATTACTTCAATAATAAGCCCTTCGGAGACTACTGATGTCCAGTGTGAACCTACCTACTCACCAAGGTGCTTAATTCCAGCTATCAATATCAACTTGTACAGAATAACCGCCTCAAGACTGTTCAAATTCTCATTCTTTCTGCCAGACGCAGTTTTTATGGGAGCGAGTTGTTTATCTTCCACAGGCACGATTCAGTTATTGAGTCCGTTTGACTCATCGCTAGGATGCAGAACTGCAGAGCGAGCAGATCAGATCCTTAAGATTAAGAGTTCTTCCCATATTAAAAAAAATGATCCCTCTCACTGCTCCGCGTTTAGACCATTTGGCTTAGACGTTAACGACACTGTATAAATTTATTTTATTCTGTCTGAAGACATTTTTATTGCGTTCAGTGACAGAATTTATTGCAGTGAATTATCCCTTGACATCTGAATGGCGCGCCACATTCCAAAAAGAACTTAAACCTGACCCGATTCTTATTGGTGTCCAAGATCATGGAAAGAATTTCGCTTTGGGGATCAACTGGAAGCTATTGCTTGCTCAAATCCCTTGTAAATTATGGGTCTTTATTTTTGTCCCATGAAATAAAAGAAATGTCTCTGTTTGACATGCAGAAATAGAAATTTCTCGTTATACAGCCATGTCTGCTGGTTGTGCAAATGTATCTCTATAGTGGGGATGAATGATGCTTCTTATGGTCGAGGTGTCAGAGATTGTCTGGCATTTGAGGGAAAACGTCCCAGGCGGGAAAAGCCAGGAGAAAAACCAACACGACGATTTTCTGCTGCCTTCATTTGTTTTGTTTACGGCAGAACAATTTTGGAAAAGGCAGGCAAGGTGTTAATATCCAACGCCAACCTTTCTTCCCGCTCAGATAATGCAGCTACTGGTGAAGGGCAACAAGCAGAGGACACAGGAACCCACGGCGGCCAACAAAACCTCCTCTCGCTCCCACGCTGTCCTAGAGGTCACTGTCAGGCAGAAGAACCGAGTCAGGAACATCTTACAGGAGGTGCGAATCGGTCGCCTCTTCATGATTGACTTGGCGGGATCCGAGAGAGCGTCACAGGTACGTCACTACAACAACAACTTGCGTTTATATAGCTCCCTTCATGTGGGGTAGTGTCCCGGAACGCTTGACAGTGGCGGAGTCTGACCCCGAGCCAGGGGGAAAGGGAGGGAGGAGGTGACCATAAGCACGATCAAGAAGGAAGGTCTTGAGGTGGAATTTGAAAGTGGGGAGGGAGGGTTCAAGGCGGAGGGTTTGAAGGAAGCAGTTCCAGAGCTTCAGAGCAGTAACTGAAAGCACAGCCAAATTGGACCTTTCTTGATCACAAGTACTTGTAGAAAATTCTTAAATTCTGTCTTAATTCGAAGCCAGTTCTTCTTTACGTCTGCAAGCAATCTTCTTCCGATTTGAGAATGAATTTAAGAATTTTCCACAATTCTGTGCAATCTTAAACGTCAAGACTTTATTGATTTACAAACTAAGCCTGACTGGAATTTCGGATCTCATAAAGTCCCCCTGTAATTTTATAATATTCGTAATAAACAGTGCATTTGATAGAGTGCCTTATCATGCTATCAAGAAGACTCAAAGGATGTAGGCGCTTCAAAGGATGCACTGTAAGATGGGTTGACCGTGTATTCATTTTATAAGAAGTGTATCATCTTGAGTGGGTCTCCTATCTAGAGCTTCATAAGATATGACACAATTGCACATCGACTCCCACCCTCATTGAGTTGCAACAACAGAACCTGGTTTAAGGAGGTTCCAGATGGCTTTCAACGTGCTGTAATGAATTACGTGGAATTTTTCAAGTGTAAGGGAATTAGCAGAGTACTCGAGAGGTAAATCTGTTGTGAAATGCATAGACCATTTGGGTTGCAATTTCCATACTTGACTTGGACATTTCAGTTTGCTTGATAAGTCTGTTAATGGGCTACATGATTTGATGGAGCTGCAGTTTTGCCAGAGGAGGAAAGCAAAAGCTATTTCCATTAAAACAAATCAAACACTGGAAGTGGTTCTGTGCTGCTGAGTGTTCTCTGTTATCATCACTCTGGGAAATGGTGTAAAGTGAAGCGTGATTTCATTTGTGACCTCGAGGATATATTGCAACGGAAGGTACTCTCGTGAATAGAACCGTAAAGAAAAGGGGCTCCTTCCTCTGAATTTTGTTAGCGATCAATACTTTAAGTGAAAATGATGGAAGTTTAAAAATACATGTTCTTTCTCGTGGTTCATTTTAAGTACGAGACTTGTTCTTTTTAAAGCACATTTAAAAAGTTCGAATTGTGTTTCATGCATCATTTACTTTACAACGCTCTGACGCCAACAGCAGCCCCGACACTGTGTCTCTGTGATAGGTACACGCCATCAGATCTTTTCATACAACTGAGTTTGTTGTTCTTAAGTTGTTTTATTAGAACCCGGAATGTCCCAATCATTCATTTACTTCAATAGCGTGTTCATCAAATACCTGTGTAAACTGGCAAATCAAGTCTGGTGAATCTTAGCAGTTTAATGTTTAATGTTTATTGCAAAAGAAAACGCAATTGCTTTGCTGATTGTTTTGATATGTGGGCAAGGTTTAATTCCCGCTCATTAAGATCCTGTTCGCACAGTGACTTGAAATGAAAGCTGATGCATTGACTGCCAAGTGAGGTCTTTAGTGGCTTTCAGTTTATAATTGTTGTGGTTTACTCAAATTGTTTGTGGCGCTGGAGGAGAGAGCTTAGCATTTTATTCCGTTTTGCACTTAGCCTTTGTGGTTCTGCCGGTTTTATGTTCTAATAAGAAGGTAATGCATTTATTGACACAAAAAGCCAACATTTGTGGGAGATCAGTTGATACATGCGGAAACCCATCACCATGCTTAAGAACATCCAAACCAAACATGGAATGCATGCTGTCTCCCTGGAGGGATGCATCCTGCTTACCTAATTCCGGAAAGTGTTAGGCTCAGGTTGGCAACCTAAGTCTTGAAGACCCTAGAGTGTGCGTTGGGGTAACTGCTGGAGACTCACCAGCTAAAACCGCATAATTTGCCATTGAGGCAGTGTACTGCCTGGCAAGCTTTCCTGCTGCTTGTCCAGCTAGGACCACCCTATCGGTTAGGGCTGTGGCTTGCAGGGTCAACGGGAGCCGAATGGGAAGAATCCCTGCTGCCAGTGACTGGTCTGCCCTTCCATGTCCTGCCTATGACCCAGCCTGACTGTGCTGCCATCAGCAGTGCCCGGACCCGCCTGGCTCAGGTACCGGACCACCAAGCCCGCCACAGAGGCCTGACTCGATCTTGACATGCCGTTGCCAAATGCAGGTTGGTTCTCTTGGGCGTAGCTTGTCCCATGGGTGTCAGTGCAATAAATAAAGTCTCTCTATATTGCGACCTGAAAGCAAATGCAACGCAGTGTGATTGTGTGAAGCGAAGGGTCCAGAGTGCCCTCTGCTGGTTCTAGGAAAGAATCGGCTTATATTTTTGTTCCAGAAATCTTTCACCTGGTAAAGACATACACGTTTGCCCCTGGGACTACCAGCTCCCTCCAGACCCCCAGTGTTTGAGCACTCAGCTGTCACAATACAGGATCGTATCAGTGTTATCGATGAGCGAACCTACCCTATTGTCTTAACTCAAGAAATATTGTTAATGGTGGTCACTGCCTCCATTTGTTCATTCTGTTCAATTTCTCCCACTGCCCAGACACAAAACCGTGGGAAACGGATGAAGGAAGGAGCGCATATCAACCGTTCGCTGCTGGCACTAGGAAACTGCATCAACGCCCTGAGTGAGAAGGGAGGGAATAAGTACGTCAATTACCGAGACAGCAAGCTGACCAGACTGCTGAAGGTACGTCACCTATTGGTGTGGAAACTGACTGTGCACGTGACTGCTTATTAAAGTTAGAACTGACTGACTGTATTGATCAATAGAGCAGTTCAGAGTTGTGTTCAGAGATGGCATTAAGGTCTCCTTGCTTATCCCTTGCACTATTATGGTGATCGCAATGTTAACACAAAAATCGCCCCTGCTAAAAACTTGATTCCACAACATCGTGTAAATCCGTTATAAAGCAGGCGACTGTTTCCAATATGATAATTGGTGTAATCTATTATAATGAAGCAAGTCAAAATGGCCAGTCTCTGGTCACCACTGATATCACTTCCTGGCATTCTAATGGGGCTGCCCCGTATTTGTAAAACTGGAGGCTTTATTTCAAGGGTGCAGAAAGCGGGGTTCATTGGAAGCTAAGTAGCTATTTCTTTCATCCATATATTTGGCTTTCTACCCTGAGATTGAGCTCTCTGCAGTCATGGTGCGCTCTATCTCTGACATTAACTAACGTGCAGAGCATATCACTTGTTCCCTTTCTTCTTTTATCCATGCAGGATTCCCTGGGTGGAAATAGCAGGACAGTAATGATTGCTCACATCAGCCCAGCAAGCCTATCTTTTGAAGAATCTCGGAATACACTTACGTATGCAGATCGTGCCAAAAATATCAAAACCAGGGTAAGTGGTGGAAAATTCCATTGGAATATAATATAATAATCCTTTATTATTTATTACTATTCATGGGACACCGCTGTGCGCAATTGGCTGCCACGTTTCACCCACAAAATATACAGTCAATTCACTTTACAGTATATTCTCTGGAACACTTTGAGATGTCTCAATGAACTGATAAGGCACTATATCAAATGCAAGGATAATTATTTATTTATTATCCTTACATTTAATATAACGCCTTTCACATCAAAAGGAGACACCTGTGGACATGTTCACAGGATATGCTGTAAAGTATAGTGACTGATTTTGTAGGTGAACACAGCAGTCAATTTGCACACAGCAATGTCCTATATAGGTTTTGTACAAGCCACAGCACTTAAAGCTACAGCACTTTTTGGTACAAAGTGCCGATGAAATAACTTGGGCACACATTAGAGATAAATTGGCTTTTTGGTCTTTTGGTTTCAGAGTACACTTGGATGCAAAATACTCAACAGCAAGTGCACTTATATAAAACATTACATGGAATTGAATGTCTCAAAGTGCTTCAGAGAATTCTGTCTTTGCAGATACTCTGTCTCTAAATGTGATTTTCCCCCGTCCCTTGTACCAGGTGAAACGCAATTTGATGAACGTGTCCTATCACATTGCTCAGTACACCAACATCATCTCCGACCTGCGGAGCGAAATCCACCGTCTAAAAAAGAAGATCGACGCCCAGCGAATACAACAAACAAAAAACGATAAAGCTGACATTCGTAACGTGCAAGGTGTGTGGCTCGTCTCCTTGACAAACAGAATCTCAGCTGCAATGATAACATGCACAGACTTATTATAGAGACTCACCAGCCTTATTCTACTCACTCACTGAAGCCACTATTCGTGTATTGATCCGATTCCCTTTTAACCGCTGTTCTAGCTCTTGCTCACATCATGGAAAGCATCAGACACTTGACCTTTGTGAGAAAGCATGCCGTATCCTAACAACCCTCTGCATAAAAGAATCTCTACCTTGCTGTCCCCCCGTTTATTTTATTCGCAGTCTGTGAATGTTCCCTGGATTCTGTGCCGTGTTTCGCATGGACGAGCGCTTGAATTGATTTGTGATTTTGTTTCTTTAGCGGAGGTTCAGTTACACTCCTCTCAGTACGACAGGCAAGAGATGGACCGGCTTCGAGAACAGCTGGTCACCACTTTCCGAGAGCAGATGGACATCCGACGCAATTTAATGGAGCTGGACAACAGCAACATGCAGATTCAGATTGACACATCCAGGCATTTGCTGGCTATTGCAGAGTAGGTGCACCTTAGATGCTTACTGACCTCCAGGTTGCTGCTGATGACATAATACCTGTTTAGCGGAACAACCCGAAAGCTAATGATTAATGCAGGAGACCAGCTCCATTGAAGTATCCACACGTAGTTCACCAGAGAAAACCTTTCATTCCTTTCACAAACGTACTCTACATGCGCTCACCTAATGTCTGTGCACATTTGAGTTGTCTTTAGCCAATATACATCCATAGCCAGTCATGTACTATTCTTGCATCTGTATATATATGTGTGAATACATTATCTATGTTGGCTTATTCAAACAAGAAAACTAATACGATAGAAAATTAGCAGTTGAAAGATGACCTTAATGCATATAAAAGCTATTATTATTATAATGAAGAATACCTTGTCCTCTTATTAGGCCTTTGTGGATTGTGCCAGGGATTGGGAGTTGAGAGATTCATTTCTATAGTTTCCCATGGAGAAGAATCTCAGTTTACAGCTCAGCAGTGTTGGAGACTTTCCTTCTCATACAGAAACGGAAAATGCTGATTTTTATGGTTCTTTTAGCTGGGTGCAGGAGAAAGCTCGCCGAGCCAGGAAGTGGCGGGAAGAATACAGGAAGGAGATCGACAACAAAGATGAGAGCGAGAAGGATTCGGACACTGGAGATGACCAGTCAGATGTCATGGAACCTCCCGAAGTGGCTGTGGCTCGGGAGCATATTGCTGTCCTTGTAGCCGAGCAGAGGAAACTGAAGAGACAAAAGGCAATCAATGTTTTTTTTCCCTCTATGTTTTTTTTTTGGGGGGTCAGCCGGGTGTCTGGCACATACGGAAACCCATCACCGTTGCTTAAGAGTATCCAAACCAAGCTGAGTTTTCCATGCATCCCACCTACACATGGAAATCCCAGAGATAGATTGTTGGAACAGAATACGCACTCTCTCCCTGGAGAGACGCAGCTTGATTACCCAATTCCGAACTAGGTGCAGGTTTGGCAAGAGCTCAGGCGTTTTCACAATGCTAAATCGGTTCTTACAAACTCTACAACCCTGTTCCTTTTCTCCCTCCTTAGGTTGAGCTGGAGAAGAGATTCAGTGACATTCGTGGCCGAGCTCAGAAACTGGAGGAGCTCCTTCCCAAATGGATCAGCAGCGAGCAGCAACGAGAGGTTCTGAGCCTTCTCTGTAAAGTGCACGAGCTGGAGATCGAGAACACCGAAATGCAGTCCAGCGCGTTACTCAAGGAAAACGTCATCCGACAGACAGACTATGTGGTTCAGCGCTTTGAGCAGCACAGGCACCTGTGCGCTGAAATTATACAACAGCAACGGCAGATTATAGATGGTACTGTATTGCACAGCTTAATTCCCAGCAATTGTAACTTTCACCGATTTTTTAAAAAAACTTAGTTTTCACAATTAGTCCTACAAATTAGCTATAAAGTCGTAACGTACACATACATTCATTTCTACCTCGCATGCTAGATATTCCTAATAGAACCTCACATTGAGAGGTATAGTAATTTGAATTACTATATTGTACTAAAGCGCTCCGGGAAGCTGACCTGTGTGAAGGGCACTATATTAAATGCAAGTTGTTGTTGTTGAGTTGCTGTACATTTTGGCGCTCCCCATTCTCACTTTGGGACTTTCGGAAATCTAATTTCCTGCTTTTTTAACTGCAGACCGGATCGACATCGGAAGGGTGGCTTTGCCAAGTTTCAGTCGAAATGGCAAAGGCTTGAATGCTTGTTGTGTGTTTCCACAGATCACAATCTGCTAGTCCCTCCACACTTGAATGAGCTGTATGAGATTTACATGAGAGAACTGGAGGAGGGCAACTTTGACCGGATCATGGCCATACACACCGTCACAACAGAAATCCTGAAGGTACTCAAGAATTAGCCTCCTTTGATTAAATAATCAATTGCGATATTGGACCATTCCCCTTTAAAACGTGTCTCGTAGCCTCCACACACCTCATTGAGTTTGTGCTGCATTTGATACAGTTTGGAGCATTGCTCACATCAACGAATTGTAATGGGAGGATGGGAAGGTGGGGGTCTTGGGGAATGAGATAGGATAGGCCAAAGGGCCATCTTCCTCCAAACCTCTTTTTGCAATCTTGCAATATTATTCACATTTAGAGTAAGCTTTCGTTCTGAAGCTTAATGAGGAAGCCAAATTGATTTATCTCAGGAAATACATTTTTTTTCAGTGAACAATTAAATTTCATGCACAAGGATGCAACGTGCGTGCATTAGCCATGAGATTATTGGGCATTATTGTATCAACATGAGATTATAGGTAAGGATAAAGTAAAAAAAAAGGTAGTGTGATCAGTAAAGGACGTTCTGGATTCGGTTATCTTTAATGCGCAATTGGCTGCCGCGTTTTGCCCACAAATATACAATCAATTCACAGTATATTCTGTGAAGCGCTTTGAGAGGTCTAGAAGATGTGAAAAACGCTATATCAAATGCAAGGATGATTATTTATTGATTATTATTTATTTATTATTATTAATATTGCTGGTTTATCCCCAGGATGGTTCACTTAGTAATGTGGTCATGAAGCTGAAGGTGGGAGAACTTGTCCAGGATGTAGACTCTGATCAGGAGAGCGTGAGAACGTTTGGATCTGAAAAGCTTCATCGCAGTCGAATAAATTACAGAGACACACTACCACCCCTGGTACCAGAGTCCGAGAGGTAATTTATAATAATAATAATAATATTCATTCTTTTAATGCACATTGGAATTCGTACCAATTGCAACTCGTATTGGGAGGAAAATACATTGCAGGTGATAAACGCTATTTATAATGTTCCCACTTTGGATTTGTTCACTATGTCTGACCTCAGTACAGTCGATTGTGGAGATTCCTACAGCAATAGCTTTCAGTCTCTGAGCTGTGCATTAATAATAGACACACGGGGAGTGTTTATATTTTTTTTTAGTGAGGGGGTGGGGGGTGGGATTGTCTTATTTGGAAGAAATTTATCCTGCTTCTCGATAGTATTACAATTTGGGGTGAGTTTCATTAGGGCTAACGTGCTGCTTTTGTATTTTATGCATTTTTATTGCTTATTCAGCAGTTTTGACTATAACTGGTTTCTTTAAAACCAGCTCCTGTGCCCAGCGGAGAAAGAGTTCAACTGTGCTGACCCCTCCTCCAATCCATGTGAATGGAATGGTGAACCAAGAGGTGAGTCAGTAAGCAATTGCGGGCATCTGGAAATCTGCACTGAGATGTGTAATCAAGGGAATGCCAATCTCTGATTAATCCTACCTCTTTGAACATATCTGTGGCCATTGCCTCCCCGCCTTGTCAGCGTCCAACCTCGTCCCTGTGCAGCGCTCTGGCTCATTACCTTATTTTCTAGGAATTAAGAGAATTCAGATTCATGGGAAACTCAGGTTTATGTTACCAGAACATACAAGGCCGCTGGTTTTAACCCTTGTTGTCCTTTTGTTCATTGCACATACTGAAAGCACTCAAATCTTCATAAAACTGTACTAAGCACCCAGTGCATAATCTCACGTACAATGATTCGTACATGTAATAATTCATAATTTTGATTTTGAACCTCACTCTGTATATTTGAGTAGAAACTGGTAAGTGACTTCTGGTGAAAAATTCATTGTCTGGAACTAACTTTATCATTGCCATCTAGGCTTTGATTTCACGAGAGTTGTACTGAACCAGCAGTGGCATTGATAGCACCTCATACTCTTGAGCCCATGTTGCTTTTTCTCTGAACACCGATTTGGTCCCCATTGATTTACAATCACAAGACACTAGAACCGTATTGGAGCGATTTTCTCTGTGTGCTTCCCATGATTGATGCTGTCAAGACTTTAGCAGTTAGTTGGAAATGTATCTTTGTGATGTGGAGTGTAATGTCACAAGACTGCTACAGAATTATCTGAAACAGTTTGAGGACTCAATAGCAGAGCACTAAATGCAACATGTTCTCCATAAGTACAATATGCCTTTTGTGTACTTCCCAAGGACAATATTGCAGAGATATTGTAGTCAATTTACAATCATTTCATCTGAACCTTTGACTCAAACTTATATTCCTTTTCATTCATAGACTGGCAGAGGAAAGGATTGTTATATCAATGGCAGGATGAGGCAGAATTACATAGTAAATCTAGATCAGTATTGTTTTATTCAATGCTGAACACCAACTCTGGCTGCTACAATTGAGAGTATTACAATGTGAGCAATTGCTCTGAGTATATTTCATTCAGACTCTTTGTTGTGCTAGTCATATTGAGTTAAATTATTCCTGTTCCTGCATGCATGCTCAACAAAGTAGAGACCTGAAATCATCATGGTCTTGGACTTAAGACCCCAAGATCCTAAAATCTTAAATTGTGCAAGGTTTGGAAAATTATTTAAGACAATGCTCTTAAAGTTAGGACTGGAATTTTGAGTCACTGGTGAAGATACTGTCTCTTGGCCTATCAGGGATCTGCTGACAAGCATGGAATCTCACCCAGGAAGTATGTGTTGTCAATTTCAGGTGGGGAGTGGGAAATGGACACGGGGGGAGACAAGACAAACGGTTCTGGCAAAGGCGTAGCTGAGACTGGAAATTCCAAAGTCGTATACTATTCGGCATACTACAGTTGCTCTACAACATTCACTGCTATTGCTACTTTTGCATTAAGATGTTACTGACAATTCTGCTCTTTGCTGCTTGCATTCCTTCAGGCACGTCAGCAGGACAGTCTGGTGAGCTTCAGCGGGATGAGCAGTACCAGCAGCCATTTAAACTCTACCCCCGACAGCAGCGAGAACATTGCAGACAGTCAGCTCACGCAAACCGAGTTCCTCAAAGGTGCACGGCAATGGCTCGCACTTGCCTATTATCTCATCAGCGGTCGGGTCTTCAGCCCCTCGGCCCCCACCGTTCAGAACTCCATCCCACATTCCCTTCGCCTCGCTCGCTCCCTTGCCTTCTTCAAGGCACGTCTCAAGACCCTCTCCTTCGGCCACCCTCCCTGCCCTCCAACCTCCCTGATCCCAACCCACCCATCAGAGCTCAGCGTTTTAGGGAAATCATTGTTACACTGAATGCCAAGCAATGCCAACCTTTTGCTCTGGGCATCTAATGTAAGTGTTGCTCGGAGAGCCTACGAGGCACGAGACAATGAAAGACTTACATGTTGGAGTGATAAAAATTAAGATGAAAAAAGAAAACTTTAACTCAGTTGGAGAATTCAATGTAGTGACATGACTGGTGATAATAACTGACTTGACACCTTCATAGGTCCACTTTCCTATTGTAAAATAAACCAGATTGATCCACATTAACATAAACGTCCACATGAGTGCTGCCTGCAAGAGTCTCCATAACTATGGAACCAGTCTTACATCATCGTCTAGACTGAAATTGATCACCCCAGCTATTTATGTTACATTGCTACCCTGAAGCAGGACCTGCTTAGGTGATATCAAATATACATTCCACCCATATAAATTCATCAGTGAAAGAATTTTACCTTTTGTGATGTTTTTCCTGGTTTGTTCCAGGAAGTATTTCAGTTCACACGACAACCACATTCTGCTGATTTGCAACATATTGAATGGGTGAATGGCTCTGAAAATGTATTCAGAATAAAGTCTCAATAATATAAGAATAATCCCTTTAAAAAACTAAACAGTAATAAAAACTAAATTTTGGTCACTCACTCCGTGGCTGTTTGTGGGACATTGCTGTTCGCAATTGGAGTTTCTTCCAAAATTTACAGTCAGTTCACTTTGCAATATATTCTGTGAAGAGCTTTGAGATGTCTCGATGATGTTATAAGGCGCGATATCAAATACGAGGATAATTAATATATCAACAACATTTATGAATTCCCTTTTCTACACACATAGAACGCAAGCAGATGCTAACCGGTACCAAGAATATTGCAGTCAAGGCGGCGAGGAGGCGGTCCAAGGTTCTGGAGAGCGATAACAGACTTCGCATATTGGAGCCCATGAAAGAGAAAACAAGCATTTCCCTTCACTCAATGAGCGAGAATGAGGAGTCCTTTTACCGGGGCATCACCGGGCCATCATTGACACTGTACAAGCAGCAGCAAGCGCAGATCATAAAGCACGCAGTGAGTGAAGACAACATTTCCTCCAGTACCTGCGAGATGGGCAGCCATGGGGAGAGCAGTCAGACAGACTCCCCCCACGGCTGGTCTCAAGCCCAGAAAAAGGAAGACAAAGCCACAAACCGGAGGGAGGAACTGTTGGAGGCCAAGCGGAAGAAGAGACGGTCAAGGTCATTTGAGGTCAACGGCCAAGCGGTTAGTATTCTATAATCTCAATCGTGAATACATTCAAACAGGTATTCTTATTTATACGTGTTTCACAAAATATGCAGTCAGTTCACTTTACTGTATGCTCTGTGAAGCGCTTTGAGACGTCTCAAAGACGTTATAAGGCGCTATATCAAATGCAAGCATTACTATCATTATTATTATTATACCATTGAAATGAAGCGATATGAATTGGGGTGCCATGCTTATACTAACATGCTTTTTAGCGCTGATTGAAGTGGATTGAAGTCTGGGATAATGCCCCCCCAATGAAAGAATTCTTTGTAGCATGTATATTGATTGTCATTGTGTTAAAGAGGCATTGCCATTCTATTGTTTAAAAAACAAGATAACGTTCCTTTTGTTCGAGACTGAGCTTGAAGCAAGGCGTATTACCATAGCAGGGATCCTCTTTATGCTTTGTGAATAATATAGTGTGGACCTCAGATGAATCCTTTTGAATTGTAGCCTATCTGTCCGGTTTGTATTTAGCTTACTGTGGCTTTCCAAGCTCCCAGCAGAAAACGGAGATGTTAGTCAATTCAATCCTTCCTTTTCTCAAGGCTGCTTGTTTAGATTTGTCTCGACTCTCGAAGACGTGGTAAGGTGCAATATCAAATGCAAGGATTATATTATTATTATTATATTATTATTCCTCAGTTACCCCGTCCAAAGAATGTTGCATCCCGATTCCAACAGCTGGAGAGCATTTCAGATAATCGGTTTGCAGTGAACAGCCAGTCCCAGTCACGGGTGCATGGAAAAACATCACATGCAGCTGGAAAAGTCAAATTCCCTATCAGTCATCATGCAGGTACGTAGCATGTAGTATTTCACTGTTAGATGGAAATAAAAGCAATTAAACTCTCCAGTGGCCATCTATATGTGCAATATCAAACCTCAGCTCTACTGTGTCAGGAGATATATTGCATCCCAAAAAGTTTATTGCAGAATCCCAGACACAACTATAATCGTTTTGCTTCATCTGACCAAACTTCACCCATCAAATGCACTTTCTCATTCATTATCAAAAAAAATGGCAGCTTTCTTCTCGGGTTTCCTTGCTTATTTCCCCTCTTCATCCAAACTGACCCGCAAATTAAAATTTATTGGCTCTGCACCCCGATCGTAAGCCAGGGTTGTAATGAAGCGCATTATAATGGGGTTCTACCGTACCCTGTGTTTGCGTGAGTTAAACTTCTCGTGGTGTGTCTTTGTGTAGGAGAGGGAGATCTACAGATGTTGGAAATAGTCAGTACCCCGCCCAGCATCATCTACCAGAGAAATGCCAACGGGAGGGGCCTAGCTGTACAGAAGAAGGTCAGAGGTGAGGAAGCAATGCCTTGTGAGATGACTAAATCCTTTGACCCATAGAGTTCTTTTGCTTTTCTATGATTTTGCTCACAAAATGCGCAGTCACTGGAGTTTGCAGTGTATCCTGTGAAGTGCTTTGAGACGTCTTAAAGACATGATAGGGCGCTATTTCAAATGTAAGTACTATTATTTAAAAATCCATCAGTCACCAAAGCAATAAAGAAACACATTGCATCGGCATCTTGAGAAACTCTCACCTCGGAGAGTGAGTTAGCTTTGAATGTTAACGGTGCTGTAATTTGTGATTTAAGGGAACAAACGTTTGGAAATCACTGACTAGTGAGGAATTCTGTGGTAGTGAAATGCTGCAGGAAATATTTTGCTTTTCAATGTCTCAATGCTTTGCCAATGATTCTTTCTCCGCGAGCAAGCTTGACTGTAGCCAGTGTCGGAGTTGCATTGCCAGTGAACAAGATATGTATTTGTGCATAGAATTGTGGGGACTCTGCTGTGCGCAATTGGCTGCCACGTTTTGCCCACAAAATATATGGTCAGTTTACTTTACAGTAAATTCTGTGAAGCGCTTTGAGACGTCTCGAAGACGCGATAAGGCGCTATATCAAGTGCAAGGATTATTTTATTATTATGCTTCTAGAAGGGGGAGAGAAGAGATGTGTGCATCAAAACCAATGCTTTTATTTCCAGTTTAATTACATTAGGTTCAAACTTTTACAGGTCCAACAGTTGCAGCATCAGAAACGTCCAGCTCCAGCCTTGCACTCAATCAGTCGGGAACCCTGAAGAAAGGGGTGAACCGCAACCCACAACCTCAGTTCAACCACACGGTGACCAATGGCAGGACTGACATCAGAGCAAGGAAATACTGACCTGGCGACGGTTCCGATTGTTTCTTGAGCGCAGTGCATCCTGACCCGTTGGTTACAGTAACAGCAAAGGAGGAGCGGAAGGAGGAAGAGGAGGAGGAGGAAGGAAGCCAATGCATTCTTCTGAAACTGAGCAAGATAAGATGCACACAAAGAAAGGGCAGAAGGGCGAGCTACAGCACATGGATGTGAACGATCCCATATCTGAATGTGACCTAATGTACATTCAGTGAACACAGGTGGTTGGATTGCTTGCTTGCTTAGAGGGATGGATAGATGTAGCTAACGAAAGGGGTTTGAACTTTGCATTTTTTAAAAAAAAATGTAATGTTTATGTTTTACAATGGCCACTGTACAGAAGCAAAAAAAATTGCTGCCAATTATTCTTAATTGATGGACTTAAGATATTTGTCCAGGAGACGAGGTAAGATGTGTTAGCCCTCTTAGATGGCACCCTCAGCCGATATTCATCAAAATACACATAGTATTCTTTAGCCTTTGGTAAAGTCGTTGGTCTAAATCGTTGACTGTCCAGCGCTTTGGGACATGAAAGGCGCTATAAAAATGTAATTTGTTGTTGTTGTTGTGGATGACTCTATCAATTAATTCTGGTCCAGGAATGGATCAGAGCCATGTACAAAGATCAGTGTACAGAAGTGAATGCAATGCTTCATTTTATACAAATTGATTTTGAAACAGGAATGTTCAGTAAATGCCTATTTTGTTTAACTATAGGGAAATCTAAATCAGCCACAAATAGGGTTCAAGTGAACTTCTGACCTACTGTGCTTAGACTGAAGCCTTAACCAAATTGCTAGTGGCAGATCCATCTCACTTTCACTTCACATGGTTTGGGGATGAACATTTACTGGTGCCTCTTACTGCCACTTTGGTAGAGTAATCGCAAGTGTATAGCAGACAGGGGCCTGACACAACAGATCCAATGGCATTCCTTTGTTCCATGTTTGGAAGGACCTTTGTTACTCTATATAAATCTTGCTTTCCTAAAATAAGCCTCGAAAGATAAATATTGATGTGATGTTTTATCATTTTCAATTAACTTAGGGAAGCTAGACTCGCAGAAAAGAGCACTGCAGCTTTTATTCAAAGCCCCAATCTCTAACTCAGTGCCAGCTAAACCATGACATAAATGAAGAAATAAAATCAAGGGATATGGAGAAGAAAGGGAGGAAATGCTCATCTTAAGGACAACCTATTTTTTGGCAACCAGCACTGCTTTGAGTTAACCCTCACGTCCAAGAAAATGTTTAAGACAGCACAGAGCTCCAGTTGTACATTCCTATTAAATGGTTTCCCCAATAAATTTTTTACATTCTGTGAATGAGGAACGTGTAGATTTAATATAACGGTTTAGATTTTCAGCATTGCTAAAACATGACATTTAACTTCAGAGCAAACGGTGTTAGGTTAGGACGCAGTGTAACAAGGTCCTTCCCTCAATCAGGGGAATTATATAGTCATTTGCAATCCTATCGTTAATAGAAGAAAAATATCCTGAAGATTAGAGATTTTCTGAAAATGCTGCTGGGCTGGTAAGAGGCTGTATTAATATCATGACATATTTATATAAAGCATCATGAAATGGCTCTGAAAGAACAGTTAGGTGCTTAAAGTTCAGCTTGGTATATGTGTTAATATCTGATTATTCCTTTAATTATACTTGTTCTATCATTCATGACTTTATTGGCCTACACTTTCTGACGCAACCCACGATAGGGCAACATTGAGTCACTGTTAAATTTGTTTGTTTTTTAAAAAACGATAGCCGTTGACAATTTACCAACACCTGCAAGAAAATGCCAACTGCCAACTAATCCTTCACTGTTCAGTGACTGGCTGAAGTGATTTCCTACATCATATATTGAAAATGTATACATTCATTACAGTATCTAATATCCATTGAGCCTACTTTGAAGGCTTACCACAAATGTGCAAGGGTTTTAAATTTGATTTAAATAGGATTTGGTGGGTTGTGCTGTGATGGACTGGTTGAATGTTGTCACTTTAGCCCTTGCAGTGCGAACGGTTTAAAAATTTTAGCATGTTTATTGTATTTTATCTTCTGCATATTTGCCTTGGAAGTTTGTTCCCACTTAGTTAAAAGTAATCAAAATTATTTGTGGTGTACCATTCAGATTATGCGATGGGGAGGGGGGGGGAGAGATTGTTATCTAAATTATGGATTTTTTTGTAAACCTTTTGGAATTTTTGTACAACAAGATTGGATTTGTTTCGTTACGCACCTGTATTTTCACAGTGGGTTTGTTTAGTGTGTGTGTGTGTGTGAGAGAGAGAGAGAGAGAGAGGGTTATCAACTGGGACAATGTGGTGTTAAATTAAACTGTGCCACTATTCCACCTTTGAAAAAGTTTACCTTTAACACAGCTTTCTCTATTTTTGCTACATTCTTGTCATGAAGACTAAACTCTCAAAGTCTTTCTTGTCTAAAAATCAAGCACAATCAGTTATTTCTGTGGATCTGGGAAGCTAATGTTGGTTGTAATTTTTTTTATTATTATATTTCATTTTGGCTTCAAGTAATTATTTTCCCTATGCGAATTTTCTCAAAAAAATCACAAAAAGAAATAAAATTCCTTGAAGTTATTTACAGTACTAATCTTTATTGAAAACCTCACTGGCTTTGAAGTGATGCAGCACAGAATTATTCCCTTGATGCACCAAGCGAATATAATTCACTGGTACTTTACCTCAATTTTGTTCAAAATCTCTTGAAGGCAAGAGTAGCCTCTAGGGAAAATGCTAATGTCACAAAATTGAGGTTGATGCAGGTAATATAAGATGGCTGCAATTAACGTCAAATAGAGAGGCCTCATCAGAAATGAGAGATGCCTGGAACAAACTCATCTTCACTTACCATGAGACGATAAATGTAGTTAAAAATTCAGAATCGAGTAATGCAAAATGATTGAGGTCCGGTAAGATTGATTGTGGTCTCTGATAGTATCGCCTAATAGTTTAACAAAGGGGTCTACCTTTTGCCATTTGCTACAAAAGAGTTATCTTTATGTATAATAAAAATGTAAAGGTATCAGGATCACTATTTGTACCGATTGGCATATGAAAGACTCCAATTCCCCCCATTCTTGCATCAAAATACATTTGCAAAGTCTAAATTCATGCTGATTCACACGTTTTAAGACCAAACAAGCAATCACAGACCAATTGGTCTCCACTATATACAGGACATCTAAAGAGGAGATAGGTCTGATGTTTCAGCCAATTTGTCAGGGGCACACACTGTGAATGTACAGGGAAAGCAATTTCCAGCGAGTCAAGGTGTGTATATATTTAAAAATGATCAAGCTGACTTTTTTTTGAGTAGCGTATTTATTTTCTGTACTTCGAGACACTGTCTAGAATTTGCACATCATTTGTACTTTTCGAAACCGATTCAATATGAATAAAATATTCAGAATTTTGAAAATCTGACTCTTCCGTGTTCTGAACCATTTCGTTCTATTTAAAAATCTATGTCTATAATCTTTGGTTTNAAAAAATGTTTCTCACACAGTTCACGCAACACCTAATTTACCAGGAGCCAGTGACTGGCTATTGCTTAATTGCAGGTTGGCCAGCTTGTTCAACACATACAGTATTTGATGATTTGCTATTCGTGGGCAGATTGAAACTCCAACAAACCAAGGAGTTTCCTATCAATGAGTTACGTTTTTAACAGCTTAACTTCTTGTTTTATGATTTCCAATCCTCGCATTTGATATAATGCCTTGCATGTCGGCAGGACATCTCAAAGCACTTCACAATATTTACAGTAAAGTGTAGTAATTGTATCCTGTAAATGAACACAGCAGCCAATTTGCACTTAGCAATGTCCTTCTAATAGGATTGAAGCGAATGACCAATTTTATCTGGAGCACTGACCGTGAGAGAAATTCCCTTTTCGATTAGTATCACAGGATCTTTTACAATATTTTTCCCCACAGAACATAATCTTCCTGAAGCTAACCTTCTCCAGAGTGTTTATCTTAACCTTCTGACAGTTGCTTGCTATATTTTGATATAGCATTTCCTGAAAGCGGTACTCTATTATCTTTAATATGGTAAGGATGTTGGTGCACACTATCCTTTTTTAAGCTGCCCTTTTTATGACTGCAATGCCATTTGATTTGTTTCTTGTGGTTTCCTGTCCATCTTGGTCTTAAAGAATTTTTTTTAGATAATAGTCATCACAACATTTTGGGTCACCCTGTATTATATTCGTAGAGATAAGACTCTGTATCAAATGCAAGGATTATTATTGTTATTCATTATTAAATGAGGTTTTCTGTAGCTCAGTGGGTACAGCACACGTCTCGCAAGTGCGAGAGACCTGGGTTTGATTCCCGGCAAGGCAAAATGTTAGGCAAGTTTCCTTATATAGACCCAGCCCCTTGGGACGTCCTCCCAACGTGAAAGGCTCTATAATATGTAATCTTGTTGTTACCCCACACGCTTGTTTGCCTGGCAGTAAGTAGGATTGTAAGTCGATTGGCGGACCGCTTTTCTGGGGGTAATAATTCCTTTCCAAAAAAATAAATTGTTCGCTCAATCCGCGGCTGTTTGCGGGGCTGCTGCTGTGCGCAATCGGCTGCCGCGTTTCGCCCACAAGAATACACAGTCACTACACTTTACATTATATCCCGTGAAGCGCTTTGAGGACGTCTCTCGTTCCACCGGGACTGGCCTCCCCGAGTCCTCCGCTCCACCCTCGGCGGCCGTGCCTTCAGCCACCGCGGCCCCGAGGCTCTGGAACTGCCTTCCTCGCTCCCTCCGTCTCGCTCCCCTCCCTATTTTCAGGTCGACCGCGCCCTCGGGTCACCTTCCTCCCCCTCCACCACCCCCCGCCGGCTCGGCCCCGGGATCCGTCGCTGTGAAGCGCTCCGAGACGCCGTCCGGCGCGGCGGGCGCGATATACATCCAAGTTGTCGTTGTCGTCGTCGTCGTCGTTATCGTTATTCGTTGTCGTCGTCGTCGTTATCTCGAAGACCGCGATCGGGCGCTGTGTCGAATGCACCGATTATATTATTATTAGTACTATTACTAGTATTATTATTATTATTATTATTTACCAGGACTTTTTTTTTGGGGGGGGGGTGGGGGGGGGGGGGGGTCACCCTGTGTCATCTTTATTGCCTGAGACGATCAGAGGAGGCAGAGAGTGGGAGGGCGAGTGCGCCGAGCAGCCAGCAGGGGGCGTCCGCGCCCCCTTGAGCCGGTTCGGCCCCCGCCGCTGGGTTGCCTTCAGCCGGAGAGGCCGCTCTTGGCTTCCCGGCCCGCGGGGCGCCTCGTTGGCGTGCGAGCCGCCATGACCGACGCGGCGGCGGCGGCGGCGGTGGGACAGGAGGAAGGGGGAGGAGGAGGAGGAGGAAGAGGCGGTTGGGCTCTCGGGCTCGCGTTTGGGGGCCGCGTGTCAAGGGCCGGACCCGGGCGGGAAAGGGGAGAGCGGCGGCGGCGGCGGTGGTGGTAGTGTGGGGGGAGCAGTGGTCGTTGGGAGGAGGGTATCGAGCCCAGTGGGGGGGTGGGGGGGGGGGGGAGACTGGTGGGGCCTAACCCCCGCGGGGCCGCCCTGTCAGCCTCTCACTGCCCTCTGGAGGGGACGTCTTCATTGGGCATAAAAAAAACACACTGAGAGGGCGGGCGGTGGGGAAGAGGCGACAATTATATATATAGATATATATCTATATATATAAAAAATCCCATATTAAGTTCTTTTTTCCCCATCTCTCTCTCTCTCTCTCTATATATATATATATGTGTTATATATATCATTTTAAATACTTTTTTTTTCACCCGCCCCCCAACCCTCCTCTTCCATCCTCCACAATATAAATATCTCCCCCTCTCCCCCTCCCTCCCTTCCCCCCCCAAAAAAAAACCAAGCGAGTCGCTCTGATCTGTCAATCGAGGGATTTCTTAACCACTTGGGTATCAATATATTTATATATATATATATCAGGACCGTGTCTCTTGTCTTATTTTTTTTATTGATTGATATATAAGACAGACACTGCACGTATTACATACTCTTTTTTTTAAAAAAAAGACATTTTAAAATACGCGTTCATTTATTTTTTTTGGGGGGGGAGAAGGGGGGGGGGGGGGGGGAGAAGGGGGGGTTTGTTTTGGGGCGGAATTCGGGTTTTTCCGAAAAGCCACCTTTTTGGGTTTCAAGTTATTTTCTTGTGTAAAAAAAATCGTTTCTTTCTCACCTTCCCCCCCCCCCCCCCCTACACACCACCCCTCCTCTCCTCCCTCCCTCCCCCTCCTCTCCTCATCTCTTCCTCTTCCTCCTCTTCTTTTTTTAAAAAAAAAAATTTTTTTTTTTACGATTGTTCCAAGTTGACACCGGCGATTATTTTCAGGTTTTTTTTTTGAACGTTTTTTTTCAGGGAGGAAAGAAACTAAGAGGGTTGGTGGAGGGAGGGAGAGAAGGTTGGATTCTCTCTGTCTCTCTCTCTCTCCCTCCCTCCTCCACTCTTCCTTCCTTCCTCCCTCCCTCCCTCCCTCTCTCTCTCTGTGTGTTGACAACTGGGCGGATTGGGTTGTTAAAGGGCTGTGGGTGTAATTTATAGCTGTTATTTTAGTTACGCTTGGAGGGGAGGGGAGGGGAAGGCAGGGGAACCTAAGCACAGCTACTTCTGTGTATGTGTGTGTTTTTTAACCTTATATTCCTCTTTAACATAATTTAAATATATATATATATATATATATAAGGACACCACCCATCCTCTTTCCCTACCCATTTTACCCCCTGTGCAGGGTGGCAACTCTTACAATCTATTCCCCCCTCCCCCAAAGATATCATTGCAAGGGATTTTGTGTGTGTGTGTGTGTGTGTTGATATAAAGTGTGTAATCCTGGAGCAATTTCGGATAAACTGAAAAAAAGCATAAACTGCTCCGATCTGATCATTTTTTTTCCCGGAGGCTGTCCTGCTTTCTCTTCTCTCGTTCTTGTGCCACGGAACTGTGACACATGATGGGTGGGAAGGAGAGGAAAGATGCAGCAATTTGGCAGCAAACAAAAGCCCTCATGTACAGGAATTTCCTCATCAAACGGCGGAACAAAGATCAGACCTTAGAGGTAAACTCTTATTTACAATCCAGGGTTATTGACACATCCCTCCCCCCTCCCCCCATGTTTCACAGGTAATTGCAAAGGACCGGTCGCTTTTTTTTTCGAGCTGTTCTTTTCCACCATTGTTGCTTTGCTGAACGTCTGAATGCGACAGTCCATCAACAACCAATGTGTGTGTGTGTGTATGTGTGTGTGTGTGTCCTGCGGTTTTAGTTTCAATTAAATGTGGACCCACACAAGAGCAGTCAGTTGGGGACGAAACAGATTGCAAATCAAGTCCTGCTTGCGCCCTGATGGGGAAATCTCAGCTCCTCCCGTGAGCTGAACGTTGCGAAGCGCTTTCACCCAAGAAAAATCTCGCTGCCTTTGCCAAGAAGTACGCTGAGAAGCGTTGATAGGTTTGGAATTGACAGCATCTACAGTCAATTCACTTTACAGTGTGTTCTGTGAAGCGCTTTGGGACGTCCTCCCGACGTGAAAAGCGCTATATCAAATGCAAGGATTATTATTATTATCTAACTCGATGGTAGTTTAACCAAGCGATGGGGGGGGGGCACTCACGGTACTTGATATTGCCGGGTTGTACACATCAGTTCAACACGTTGCAAACAGCTCTGGTCCCAATGCTCCAAACGACAGCTTGAATTCTTTCTTTCTCTTTTTCGTGTTTAAGGAGAGGGCAAAAACAACTCTCTGCATCGGAAAATGAATGCTCTTAATCGAAGTGTTGTTTCGCAGACCGGATCAGGCTTGATCAATATGACATCCATTGCAAGGCAGTTTAGATCCAAATGACATTGTGTGTGCATAATGCAAAATAAAGTTTTGCCAGCCATACTTTTAGAGGTTTCAGGTTTCACCCCCCCTCAACATTTGATTGAAGCTGACTTTTATTGTTGAGCAGGCTTTGAGCCCAAATCTATCCAATTGATACCACAAAATGGTGTATTATTAATCTATAATGATCCATCCTGTTTCTTTTCTGTCATCTGTCATATATATGGAAACTATTGTGCATGGGGTAAGATTGTCATCTTGGGAGATGATTGAGTCGAAAAAGAAAAGGTTATCAAAGATTTTCACAACTATTAGTGCATGAGGTACTGTTATTTGAGCAAGAAATAATTACTTTAAATTAAAGATACATGAGAATCATGAATTACATTAATTCATTAATAACACACACAATATACAACATATTCACAAATTACAGTCATTACAGATGGATACTTCTAGATTGATAAACTACCTTGTGGTATAATTGGGACAGATTTGGGTTCAATGCTTATGTTCTTATTTTACAGTGTGTGACATGACATGTCAAGTGACTGCCAGAATAGTGGAAGGCAAACTTGGTCTTTTTTCGCCTAGTAAATTCTTATGTTCTTATGTTCTTAATTAATTACAATAACGATCCTAAAAGTAAACTCAACTCAGCAGGTTATTATCTATTTAATATGGGGAGTAACTGGAAATTATACAAGGAGTATGAAGATGCAGAATAGTTTGAAATGTTTTATGTGGTTATAACATGTTGATTGGTAGAGTTAGCCACTGAATTGATATGTTTTCTTCAAGGATTGGACTTTTCATCCATCTCTTTCAAGTTTGAACATACCTGTTGAAGTGTAATTTTTATATCTTTCCTATTACAGGAGTTGCTGCTGCCACTTTTGTTAGTTTTCGCTCTAGTTTGTTTGAGTATTTTTGTACCACCACAATGGTACGTGAAAACATATACAAGTGAGCCAGAGGTATTGGATGACTATGCACCAAAAATTCGCCACAAACTTGGATATACACCAGTGAACATTCGTACAAAGAAGATCATGGAAGAAGTGAAAGAACTGATGGGTGAGTGTAGAATAAAACCAAATAAAAGCGCACACAAAATATACTGATGAAAAAAACTTGTGGAGGCAAAGCAACGTAAAATGAATTAGTCTTTGTTAGCAACTACACTTAGCTTTATTTCGGTACTGTATAATAAATTAAGCACAAGTTACTCCCTCTAAGAAGTGTTATCCATGTGCTGTGTAGTCAGTATAAGCATATAAACCACATGGACCCTATTATTTTCTTTCCTTCTGCCCCATTTTCTGCCCCAGATGTGGTCAGCTAACTGAGCATAGGATTTGAACCTGCAGCCTACTGGTGTGTGGATTAGTCCAATTAAGAAAATTAAAAGTAAGTTTCATTTTGCCCATTGAAGCAAAGTCACAATTCTAAGTTAAATCCTCTTTTTGGTCCCTAATATCCAGGCACAGATAAAGATTAACAGGTGCAGTGTAAGAGTGATTCTTTTCCAATATTAATCAGAGTAGCAGCTCTTATAGAAAATCATCGCTATAACCATATTGGGAACCCTAATGGTTAGCGGAGAATTAGAGTTCTAGTCGTATTGAAGACTGGGACAGTATCTGTGGGGAGTGAATGTTTATCTTATCTATAGGCTGCTATAGGCTGATTGTGGAACTGGCTTCTCATTATAGAAGTAATACTACAAGGCTTTGATGATGAGCAAGCTATGGAACAGGTTTGCTGCTCCTATGGTTCTGAGCCGTTTGTGGGAGTTTTCTTTACTGATTCTTTATCATATCAGCTTCGGTATCCCTACAATAAAGTTCCACGGACCACTGAAAAAATTGACTACATTGACGAGAAAGGTAACTTCAACTTTAACATTTGTAAAACGTTTCTCCAGCACCGGGATTTAATTTGACTGTTTCAGACCTTGGCTGAGGCATCTGGGAAAGTTGGAAAACATGACCTGGGAAGGATGCTTTCCCATAATGTTTCATGGTGCTGGGCAATTTTGTACCGTCATAAGCAGTTGGGATGAATTGAACCACCTCACATTATATGAGGACAGCGGAATATAATTAATACCAGAAAATGACACAAATTATTTCAGTGTCTAGGTGAATGGACTACTGGACTAGTTACCCAAATTATCTGCTTGTTTCTGATTACTGTCCCATAATCTGATAAGAAAGTGGTGATAGAAGTGCATTGTGTACATGTATTCCCTTCTAACTCTTCTAAGACTCTTAACATCTGGTCTTTTAAAATACAAATAATAGCAGCAGAATCATTGTAGTGGTTATAATGAATAATGCGTATTTTTACTTAAATCTTTGTATTTTAGCAACTCCTGCTCTCTATAATAGTAGTCTAAACACTTCGACGACAACTTACATTTATGTAACTCCTTTCATGTGGGTAGAATCTTGGAATGCTTATTGCAAACATAAGAATTACTTTCCCATTCAACAAAGCTCCTGAGTAAAAGGTTTCAGTTATTTATACCATAAAAAGGTTTATGAAAATATTACAATACTTGTGCTTCACTATTTTCTTAAATGTTGGTCTTCTGCTTTGCCCATTCTGTTTTTCCCAGCAAGTTGTCGTTTGCTGACTGGCTCCTTGCATCAATTGGAGGAATGCCCTGGGGCTATGTACTTGCTGTCGGGATTTGCAACAATACAGAAAAATATTGACATAGCCATCATAAAGGTTAGTGTATGAAAGATACGTGAATTATTTGCAAAGGTAACAGTTTGTGAAAATGATCTTGCTATTTTGGTAATTTGTTGCAAACTCTTGGATTATATAATATCTTTTTCTTTTGAGTAAAGATATTATTTTCTCACTTTTAACCAATCCAGGTATTTTAGTTGAAAATCTGTTAAAAGTTGGCTTTAAAGTTCCCTTCGCATAACACATAATGGAAAGAGGAATTATTGCCTACAATTGTAATGTTATAGCAACAATTGGCCCTTGATTCATAAGTAGTTCTTACTCTGTTAACAATGGGAATGATTAATACAACTTTGAACAGGGAATAAAAAGTAAAAGATATGCCCAGTCTAATAAAATTGGATTTATATTACTGACTTTAAAACTAGTCAGTTATATTCCCTCAAGTTACCTCAGTATGACTGTTGCTCCCTGAATGTTTCATTAATGGTATTTAATAGATTTTGGATAAGAAGAAAGAGCTGGTTATACATGTAATTGGGAAAGTTTGTAAAATTAATGCTTTTTTGACAGACATTTCATATGTGCGCTACTGAACTATCAATTCAAGCATTTGTTTTCAAATAGACTGTTTTCTAAATCAATACTATTCTTCAAACTAAGCTCTAACTCTAATCCCATCCAATTTGCAATCTAATTTCAATATATTTAGTTCTAATAGCATAACAAATCATATTCCCAAGTTCGAAATAAATAATTTTCATTATTGTACCGGTCAGCATTTTTTTTCCCTTTCTACAGTTTAATCTGTTAGACATAGTGAAAGTGTTGATTCACATTTATAGATCATTTCTTCACTCAGATTAACACTCTGTTCTAACCATGCAATTGAATTGATAAATAATACTTTGGAGGTTACATAATGTTGTTCAATTCTACACAGACAATGTGAAACAAAAAGTTATTGTATCAACAATGGGATGAGTTTTCTCAAGTTCCTTAAAAAAAATCTATTTTGGATGTTTTAAACCTTTTTTTGGTGGCTAGGTATGCCACTTAACATCTTCCAGTTGGATTGGTAGAGATTAATTAATGTGGTGTGCATTTTCAGACGCAAACTAACTATTCAGTCTGGAAAGACATGGAGTCTCTGCAAGTGCAGATGATGGGACTACCGAGTCATGTCGGTGCAGACATCTTTTCACATCTGGTCACTTCGCTCTACTTTGTGATTGCCTTTGTGCCCTTTGTCAATTTCCTGCTGATTAACCTTGTGATCGAGAAGAAGGAGGTGAAAGAGGTGATGAAGGTGATGGGACTGTACGACTCGGCTTTCTGGTGAGTTAAGCCAATGCCAGTATTTCACTGAATGAAAATAAATAGTTGCCCATTCCCTTAATTGCGATTAAAGCTTTCCCTGGACTATATTTAAATGATACATGTCAAGACCACAGAGGAATGGTATGAGAATTTTATTTCCAAAGTTGTGCCAGCTAATGAAAAATTAACAACTTTACCTTTATAACTGAGTGGTCTCGATTTTATTAGCAGTAATGTTGTGCAGAAACATAACTGCCTAGAGATGTATTTTTTTTTCTATTTTTTTTAACAAAATAATATTAAACCAAAATCTCCGATTGTTGTACAGTATGAACAATGAATTAATTTATATGTGAGTTTCTGGAGTCCGTAGACTAAGTAAATGAAATTGAACCTTTTTGTTAAAAGAATAAATAGTGTGTATGTACATCAAATGTATTTTGATGAAAATAGCTGTCTCCTGTTTATTGTTGAACCTTACAATGATTTATTTACTTTTCAGGCTTTCTTGGGGCTTACTGTATCTGGTTTTGATCTTCATCCTATCTTTGGTGATGGCAATTATTGCAACTGAGACATCTTTGTTTCCAAGAAGCAGCATAATCATCATCTTCCCATTGCTGTTCCTTTTTGGCATTTCCATAGTAAGCCATATTCTTCAAATATTTTAGTCTGATGACGTTTGTAAGTACAGTATGGGTTGAGTAAAAATAAATGGATTTTGGTTGAATGCCGATCCTCGGTTTCACTGTGTTGATTGTTTGGCAGAATCATTTTTGAAAGTTAGAAACTTTGTTAAAAATCTTCTGTCACTACTGCTTCTGTAGTCGGTTGAGGATCAATGTTGATATGGGATTAAATGCTCTTGGTTCAAAATGTACAGTGTTCAAAATCTGGGAGTTCATAGAGTTACAATAGAGTGATACGAAATGGAAGCACTGGCTGCTGTTTATACTTCAGGCATGCCCCCAAACTACTCCCCTCTTTTATAGCATTCCATTCCCTTCTCTCTCACTTATACAAGTTTTCTCTTAAATACATTGATACTGTTTGCTTCAACCACATCTATTCCCTCCCCATCCCCCTCAACTCCCATGTGTGTTGGCATCCACCCCCAGCTCGGAAGCCTAGCCAGTACTGTTGAGTCCTTTGGTACGTCCTCCCAATGTAAAAGATACTATATAAATGTAAATTTGTATTGTGTTTATGGACTCACCAAGATTTATCTTTGGAGGGCACAAAAAACCTTTCCTCAGGAGATTAAATGTATTGAGTAGATGGAGTTCATGTGTTTGGAAGGAACTGGCTTGATTGGTCACATATCCTTTTCTCATTCTGTAATTTCAAAGTAAATCAAACGTTCAGAGGGTCTAGGTTAATAGCAAAGGAAACCCGATAGTGAAGGGTGGCTTGTTATTTTATAATGTAAATTTTCTTTTCTTCCTCAGATTCCCTTCTCATTCCTGTTGACTCCACTTTTTAAGAATCAGAAGATCGCAGGCTTGGTTGGATCTCTAATGTTGATGGGCTTTGGATTGTTTAGCCTTCCTACTGTGCTGGTTAGAGATTTTCCGGTGTCTGCTGTATGGGGCCTCTGTCTGTTCTCTCCGAGTGCCTTAGCGATTGGAATTGCCCAGGTACTTAAAAGTGGAGAGTGATTAAAATTAGTTGTGATATTTAGAGTGCGATGCATTTCATGCTGTTGGCTTCTGATTTGAGATTATTCTGAGTCCGTTGGTGCTTGAATTGCTTCCTGGATACAATTTATATAATGATATAGATGTCTCAGAGGCCGATCTAGCTATAGTCATTCAAGATGCTCCAATATTCCTCACCCACACTTCAGGAATTTTGTTTGGAAAGTTTAGATGTTGACTCATTTGTGTTTTCTTTTTAATTTGTATGTTGCCATGTTGTACACCAGGCTGGGACAATACTATATTGTAACTTTTGCCCCTGTTTCCATCAGGTTGTTCTGCTTGAAGCTACTGGTGATGGTGCTCAGCCCTCAAACTTATCGGCAAACCCCTACCCCCTATACATCCCTCTTATCATGCTGGTCCTGGACAGTCTCCTCTACCTGTTAATTGCTGCATACCTTGACCAGGTCCTTCCAGGTATGTAGCAAAATAGCTTTAGCCTCATTTGATAGGAGAACTACTTTCTGACCTAATGTTACTTATAGCCACTGTATAGAGCGCAGTGGAGAGGAGGAAAGAAAGGGAGCAAGAAATAGATTTAATAGCCTCTATTAAAGCTGCTCAGTAACTGAACCATTAAATAATTGGCAGAGTTACAGATTGGCGCTTATCAATACTGGGAAAGTAGCTGCGTGTTATGCTCTGGAAATTAAATTCAGTTTTGTCAAAGATTGACATAATCGATTTTTATTAAATGAAAAAATTGTTTTTTGTGATTGGGATTGTTGGCGTTTGAAGCTGCTATTCCCTATGCGCTAAGGTTTGATTTTAAATTGTTATTTCATGTTTACTTCAGAAAATGTGCCGTCACGTTTCTGCAATGCCCTTAATTCTACATTACACTCGACATTAAAAATGGATTTGCATTGGTTAGAAAATTTCTTAAAATCTGAGAGGAGATCCATTATTCTCATTGTTTAATAAAAATACAAATGCAATTAGTGAGTGCACCATCCATATGAGAATGCACCTTTATAAATTAAATATGTTTGCTGTTTATCTTGCTTTTTAATTATTTAAAGAAGCTGTGTGCCATTGGTGGAGTGTGAGATCTTTTTAATCTGTAATACAGTGACCTTACAAGAAGGTTGTCATTGTTAAGGAATGTGTGTGTTGTGAACTGAGGAACTTTGACATTCTTCTCCTTCACGGTAGATCAGTATGGTTAAGACTGGTTGTAGCCTGTATTGTCTTAGTTAAGGATCCTAAATTGCAGAATAATGGATTTAGATTTGAACACTATGCCTAGCGCCGTATTTACAAAAATACTGATGTGAACTGCCGATGCATTGTTGGGGCAATGGCACTGGTCTCATTTAAGAAACAGATCGAATACAATACAAAATTATCTTTGTATAGCGCCCTTTCACGTCAGGAGGATGTCCCAAGTGCTGGACAGTCAGGGAATCTGCAGTAGGAGGATAGATAGCGTGGATAGGAGGATGAGATCCAAGGGGCTGGTCCTTTACTCAAACCTCTTGTGATCTTGTGGAGCTGATGCCATCTACTTGTAGGAATTGAAAATTGCAGAAAAGTGCGCAAATAATTTGTGTCCACAGATTTTATGATCAATGAATGGTAAATTGTTTTTTACAATCTTGTTGATTTTCCATTCCTTAGAATTGTTCATGATGTAATATTTTACAAAATGTGAGACTTTATAAGCCTGTTTGAGAGCCTTTTTCAGTATCTCAGCCAAAGAATAGTTTGAATAAATTCATATAGATTTAATACCTGGTAGGTAAATAAATAAATACTTCCCGATGACCTTCACACCTTTGAGCTTGCACCCTCTAATCATGCTTGTTCCAAGTTTGCTTTCTATGAGTATTACTCTTTTTGAGGCCAAAGGACTTTTATCAACTTGCTCTGAAGCTTATCCAATCCATTCTTTAGTCTTTTAATATCAATAATGGATATGGTTAAGAAATTAAGATGTCCCAGTATTCATGTATTGTACTCAAGAAATCCCATCGTGATTAAAAAAAAATGTTTTTGCTTATTCAGGTGAATTTGGGCAACATCAGCCTTTCTTCTACTTCCTGCGACCATCGTACTGGTTTCACAGACGAAAACATTACGATCAGATTGATGCAGTTAGCGAAGGTGAGCCCAGTCACACGACTGGATTCAGCAAAGTTGTGGAAGCAGTGCCTGCAGAATTGAAGGGGAAAGAAGCAATCAGGTATGAAAAGCACCCTCAAAACATCTGTCATTCTTGTTTTGAGATTGGTTGCTCCAGTGTTTTGGAGAAATCAGGTATAATTTGTGAAATTGGCAAACTGGGTGATACATCATTTGGAACTTGAGGTCTGAGTTTGATTCCTGCTGTATGTTAACAACATGCTCCCTATCAGTTTGGCTTATCATGAAAGAATCCCTTTAGGTACATTGGTTTACTAGATTTGTTTCTGCTGCAATGCTGTCTTTGTTTCCCTTTTGGTTTTCATATCCTTAAAGTACACTTTAGAAACGTCCTTCAGTGACAGTATCTTGCTTTTTTCAGATTAAATGGTGTTCGGAAGTTATATAAAGAAAAGGAGGAAAAGGTGGAAGCACTGAAAGGTTTGTACCTGGTATTGTGTCCATCACAGTGACTGGTTGCATTAACTTTTTTTTATCTCTGATAGACATTTTTTCTCATCCTCAGGTTTGACATTTGATGTTTATCAGGATCAGATCACAGCACTATTGGGTCACAGCGGAACTGGAAAAACCACGTTAATTAACATTTTGTCAGGATTATGTCCATTGTCAGAAGGTAAGAAACAAATCATGCTGGAAGGAGCAAAAAACCCAAATCTTGTTTGAAATTCTTTTTTAAAATAACGCTTGTTTGCTTGTGTCAGGATTGCATACATGATTTAATGCAAGTTTTTTCTTTTTACATCACAGGAAGTGCAACAGTTTTTGGATACAGAGTTTCAGAATTAGATGAATTAGTTGAGATCAGAAAGATGATTGGGGTTTGTCCACAGTTTGATGTCCTCTTCTATAGTCTCACAGTCAAGGAACATTTAAAAATCCTCGCAATGATTAAGGGAATTCCATCACAGGAAATCAATAATGAGGTAAGCCTCTTTTTGATGTTGGATGGGAGGGTATACCGCTCAGATTTTAGTGTCGCAATAAGCAAGTAGAAGAACACAACTTTGTACTTAATGGTTCCTTACGTGGAGAGATCCTGATTACGTCTGGCCTTGGTAGAGGGAAGGGGAGAAAGAAGATGAATTATTAATAACAGCCAGCTAATTTCCGCTCAATGAAGGGAAAATATATTGCTGATTGAGTTATTGATGCTGTCTTGTAGGCCAAGATAATCTGATCAATTTTACATTTACAATCTCTAGAGTGCGATGAGTTACGTGTTAAGCAAAGTGACGAGTAAAGCGATATCCCTTATTAATATTTTGCATGGAAAGCGGACAGGATATTGATGACATGTCAGTTTAAATGATAGTAACGAGTTAGGCCAGGCTGAATTATCTGGAGTTCACTGTGAGTTCTTATAAACAAATGTGAACAATGTAAATGGTTCAGCCAGGACAAAAGTTATAATAATAATAATCCTTGCATTTGATATAGCGCTTTTCACGTCGGGAGGACGTCCCAAAGCGCTTCACAGAACACACTGTAAAGTGAATTGACTGTATATTTGTGGGCGAACGCGGCAGCCAACTGCGCACAGCAATGTCCCACAAACAGTCATAGATTGAAAATGACCAATTTATTATTGGTTTTGGTTTTTGGAGGGATTATTATTAGGCTCTGTGTGGAGTAAGGAAACTTGCCCAAGGTTTCGCCCTGCCTGGAATTGAACTCGGGTCTCTCGCTTGCAAAGCGAGTGCTCTAACCACTGAGCTACAGGACTCCGAATATTCTTCAATACTGGACCTATTAATAATAAACTTTCTTCCCTTTACTTCCACAAGGTGCTGGGGGTCTTAAAGGAATTGGATTTGGAAGCTGTCATGGATGTCCGAGCAGAAAAGTTGAGTGGTGGGCAAAAGAGGAAGCTTTCACTGGGAATGGCAATTTTGGGCGATCCTAAGGTGAGAGGTTAGGCTTGAGATATGTTATAATTGAGCCTTTTCTTTTGTTTGATAAGTAGCGGAATACTTTCTTCAGTTGTCCAGTACAACAGCTTCCCACTAGTTGTTAAGATCTGCCTGCTTCCCAAAAATCTCAGTCCACAGGATATGAGACTGTTTTGCCAATAGCATAACTAGCAGGTAATGCCAACTGCTGGGGGTTCCTACTGATGTCTAGCAGATTCTAGCATTGCTCAGCGATGCAATTTGAATCCAAGGTTGGCAGGGTCAAGAAAATGGGCAACTTATCTTTATTAAGAAAACATTCTTTTTTTAATATAATCTCTTTTGCACCTGAAGGTTTTGCTCTTAGATGAACCAACTGCTGGGATGGATCCATGCTCTCGACAGCAAGTGTGGACCTTGCTAAAAAAGAGGAAAGCAGGACGGGTGATACTACTGACCACTCACTTCATGGATGAGGCTGACATTCTGGCAGGTTGGTGCTCATGTTGGGATTCAGTTTAAAACCAAATCACTGATGAAGCAAAACTGATCGAAAAAAAAGATCAAAGGAAAATATCCTAGAAATCTAATAACCAATGATTTTTTTTTCACACTTCGGATAATGTTCCTAAATAATACCCATCCTGTTAAAAACCTAGGTTTTCATTCATCGCTTCCCAATTATTACTCAGCAGTAGCATTTTATAAACTGTGATCCACTTCTGTCTATTAAGTTAAAAACAAAATACAGCATATCCTGGTCCTTCAAGACTTACTTTGATGCATCGAGAGACTCCTTATTATTTACAAGGATCTATACTAGTTGTCAACTTGATTCAATGGGTAGCACTATCCCCTTGGGTCAGAAAATTATGGGTTCAAGCCCCCGTCTTTGAAGTCCGGTGAAGAGGGAGTGCTTCACTGACAGAGATGGTGTCCTTTGGATGAGATTTTAAATTAAGGATCCATCAACTTGCTCAGATGAATGTTAAAAGGTCCACTGACACTGACATTATTCTAAAAGAGAGCTTCTCCCAGTATCCTGGCCAACAATTCTTCACATAAATTGGTCATTTGCTTCATGGACCTTTGTGGGATTTTGCTATGTGCAAAATTGGCTTCCGCATTCGATACAAATACAAAGTCACTGCAATAGATTAAAAATTACATGTGAATCACTTGCCGATGTTTCAACGAAGGCCCTATATGAAATACAAGGATTATTATTTTATGCTTCACAACGCATTATTCAGTTATGTCAGAGTTAAAATTCAGATTTCAGAAGACCCGAAGCATGATTCTGGAGCTATGGAAATTATTGTAGTTTTCTTAAGAATAACGGTAACCTCTCATGTGTGTTTATCTTCATGTAGATCGTAAAGCTGTCATCTCACAAGGGCAACTCAAGTGTGTGGGTTCCTCTCTGTTTTTGAAAGCAAAATTCGGTGTTGGTTATCATCTCAGGTAAATTTGGTAACTTGCATTTTACTGTGGTCGTAAAATTTAGGGAGTAAGAGTTAACACCGAAAAGTTGTTTAATCATTTTTAAAAAAAGTAAAATTAGAAGAGACAAAAATAAATCTGGGTCAGCAGAAGTAAAGTGTTGAGGGAGAACTTTGTTCTACGTTTTTAGTTGTACGTTAACAGCCGCTATACTGCCACGTCTGACATTTCAGCAGTTGTAATACTTTATTGGGTATCTAAACTGAAAACAAGACAGGTTTAAGAAGTTTGGAGCTGCTGGAAATTAAAAGGGTTAAACTGTATAGGGTGAAAATATAATGGTACAAAATCCTAACAATCACAAGTTATTAGTTCAATTTCTCGAGTAATTGGATGACCTTTTGGAGCGTGTTCAATTTGTAATTTGTCATGTGAACGTAATAAAAAATATTTTCGGATTCTTATCTCGTGTTTTTAATCACCCTGTACCAACCGTCATACATCCTTTGGCAGTGTGATTTTTCTGAAACATAGTGAATTTTAGTGAATCTGTCTGTTTGTTTGTAGTACAAGGTTAATAATATAAACCACTTTTTGTTTTACTTTGAACAGAATGTCTGTGAAGGAGTCCTGTGATTCTGACCATGTAACGTCATTAGTCAAGCGATACATACCTAACGCTCGCCTTTCACAGGTTCATGATCTAGAGCTGGCATATACCTTGCCCCTCGAGGACGTGAACAAATTTGCAGGTGCTGTAGCCATTTACTAATACTTTTACTTTTACTCTTTGATAGGTTAATTCAGTAGAACTATTATAAGTTTTTGTCAAATTCCTACTTTTTCTTATAACTGGGCGCAATTGAGCGGCTTCCGCATTGAAGCCTTAACTAATTGATGAATTCAAGGTCAAAGCTTCTGCATTAAAGCCGTCTGGGTCATCAGCAGCTTGAAATCGAGTTGTTGCGTTTCAAAATGTTGTAATCGCACTTCAAATCCCATTGTCCTGCTAACTCGTTGTGAAGCAGCACGCCGAGATTTCACATGTGCTTTGAAGTGCGGAGACGGATTTGGATGCAGTTGTCATCAGAACTTTGGATTTTTAGGTAAAGTGTTGGGGCCCACAAACCAATCACATTCTATGGAAAGTACTAGTACAAAAGGATTGTAGGTTTGAGATGTCTAGAAGAAGTGAAAAGCGCTATATCAAATGCAAGGATAATTATTATTATTATGTAATATATAGTTACTCTTCCTTTGGTTAAAGTAAATCAATACATTCTTTACCCGATAGATTTCTTTAACTACAATTTCAGAAGATAAAGTAGTGAGAAACCTTTGATTCTCATGATTCCAAAGTACTCTTTTTTTAAAAAAAGGAAGTAATTGTTAAAATATTATGCTCAGAAGCTATCATCTAGTGATATTACCTTTCAGATTGTTTTATACGTTCTATAAGGTGATTGGTTTAGTTCTTCTGTTAATGATATCCATCCACTGCTCCACTGCCTGCTGCTAGCATTTTCGGATGTGACACTTACAGTAAAAACATTTATTGTTAACGTCTTCCCATTTCAGATTTGTTTGTCGATTTGGATCACCACATGGATCTGGGCATTGACAGTTATGGAGTTTCCATGACTTCTTTGGAGGAGGTTTTCCTGAAGCTGGAAGCAGAGTCGGAAATAGATCAAACAGGTTGGTGAAACCTTGCAGAAGATAGAAGGAGCGTTGCTCCTGCTCAACTTTAGTTTCAATGGCGCAAACCATTTTGCTTTGCCCATTTGCCACATCCTACAGATAGAACAGACCTTTGCTTGTCTTTTGATCTGATTTAAAATCTTTTTTTTCTGTCTTTCAGATTACAGTGTCTTTACAAGGGATCCTACCCCAGATGGGATAGCGAATGAAGAAGACTTTGATGCCTTTGATTGCATCGATCACCAGCTCCTGACTTTTCCAGAAAATAATTCCTCAGTCCTGACTGGAACACCTCTCTGGTGGCAGCAGTTTCGAACCATAGTCTGGCTGCGTTTTATGAATTTGAGTCGTGAGCGGAGTGCACTTCTTTGTGTGTAAGTGTAATTGGAAGACAAAGCATCAAGTCTCCTGATCCTTTATTAAAACATCTATTGTACCTATTAGTCAATGGGAAGTTTTTTTTTCGATCTAAAAATACATCACAAGGACCTGAAAGAGTTCAAAGGAAGATTACTGGAACAGTGCCATTTAAGTGACTGATTTGTGGAGGGACTCTTAAGTACTTCTACTGGTTGTATTGTATTTAGAATGAAAGAAAAACTCCCATTGACTAAGAAGTACAATAGTTGTCATAGTTGTAGAAACAAATGTAGTGGGAAAGGAAGGATGTGATCTAAATTTCAAACATTTGAAGGAAATTGTGGCTAGATGTGAACATTCTTGGATAAGTGAACTGGAGAAAATATCTATAAACTACAGGAAATACTCCCTCCATTTTAACTGAGGAAACGAGGCACCCGAACACGTTTTTAAAACAAAGGATTGGACATTTCAGTGCATCTACATTTTGGTAGGTTTCGCTTGACATGCTGAATACATTTTTCAATCCTTTTTACAGAATTTACATTATTGGATATTGATATCTATGGTGGTAATGACGGCTTTATTGAACGGTACACTCAGCAGAAAGGATGTTGCAGTGGAACTATCCCCTGAATTGATTCTGCTTCACAGAGGAGCAAAGCAAGTGAAGTACACCACAAGCCTTCTCTTGAGAAACTCCACAGGTGAGAGAACAAATGTAGAAAGCATCCAACAACAACAACAACAATATTACATTTGTATAGCGCCTTTCACATCGGGTGGACGTCCCAATAGCCAGATGACCAAGCAAACTATAGATACCTCTCAAACATACAAACTAGTCATGTCATCGGTATACGCAGTTTGTGAGACCACTTTGAATGACCATAAGTGATCAGTCAACCGTCCCTTGTGATCCTCAATATTTGATCATGGTGGTCATGTTTTGTATCTGATCAATGTACTTTCAGATCTCTAGATTTATTTCTAAGAATAGCCTAGAAAGTGTAGCATTAGAATTTTATTTCTCAAACCTTTGTACGGCTCCCCAGCTGTTCTTTCATCCGTGGCAAATTTGCTTTCTCAATCCAATCCAGTTTCCTACTTTAGAAACTTATTGTGGCCTGGCTATTGAAAAGGAAGTGAAATTGTTATCCTATGAAGTGGAGGCAATTGTGAACTCTGATTTTATGTACATTGCTTAGAAGAAGTAGCTATGGCTATCCCAGTAAGATCTGAAGTGATAAATTATGCAGGAAAGAGCCAAACATTCGTTTATGTTTTTTTAAATTCACAAAAACGTGAATGAATGTTTAGACTTTATTTTACAGAATATATTTTAATAGCGACTTTTTAAAAATATTTTTTATTTTTTTCACATTTTACACCAGGCTCCAACATCGATAAGCTTATCCATGGTTTGGAAGCCCAGAATGTGGAGGTGCAGCTGTTTGGTGACACTGAGTTAATGGATGTTGCTCCACACAATGCGGCACTAAACGTGTCCCTGTCAGAGGAGGTAACTGGACTGAAACTTGAGCCTTCATTGAATTGTTCTGATTGCATTTGAATCATAATTTGCATGGGGTGGGGGGGGTTTTGTTGCAATAAAAAATCTTCCTTGGAAGAAATATTTTGTTTAGCGATTTTGGAAATTTGGCAGCTTTTTATTTTCTGTCCTTGTTGCAATTTGCTGGAAATTTGGTTTCCAGTACTTTTCCATTAGTCTCTGTATAACACCAATATCCCTGACTTAACAGTGGAGCAAACATAGTTAAACTTTAAACAATTAAAGTGTGTGCTTTAGGAACGATATAACCATTGTACTAATTGCAAAGTAAAACTCGTATAGAAGAATAATGTGGAATATTTTTCTCTCTCTCTGCGTCTGCCTCGCACACTTTTGCTCAGAAGCAGTATTTGTTTACAGCAGTTTTCAACAGCACAGTGATCCATTCATTGCCAGTGTTGCTAAACATCATCAGCAATGCTCTCATCATCAGCATTAATGGATCTGGAAGGATTCGTGCCTGGAGCAAGCCATTTCATTTAGTAAGTGAAGTGCTGAACAATATACGCTAGCGTGCTTTTGATTATCAGGGCACTTGGGCTTACAGTGTACTTGTGATCATGCCTGTCGGTCAATGCCTATTTCCAGTCATGTGGTTCCTCTTACTATGTTGCTCTAGATGTTTCCAATTAAAATCTAAAACCCAAATAAATAAAGTGAATTACTAATTATGCTAAAGGCACAAATTTGTTTAAAAAATATACATTATACACCTATGAGTGATCACGGGAACCGTTTGATTTTTTTTGAATAAACTTCAGGATATTTTTTCCTTTTTAAAATACTGTTGAATATTTTGTTGTGGGTTAACAATTAACTATGTATGTAGTACGTGTAGTGTGAAGATTACATTTTTTTATATGCTGTTGCTTTAGACTGTCACAGATGCTGACTTCAGGGAACATGTTTATATGGCTTTGGCAGTATTGGGATTGCTCGCAGCTGCGCTGCCAGGATGCTACACAATGGATAATGCCAGGGATCGTGAGGTAAACAAAACTCTGGAACGCTTTCCCTCAATCCCTCTGCCTTGCCCCCTCCCTCCCCACCTTCAAATCCTGCCTAAAGACCTTCCTTTTTGATCGTGCTTACGGTCACCTCCCTCCCTTCTCCTTGGCTCGCCGTCAGACTCCGCCACTGTGAAGCGCTCCGGGATGCTACCTTGCGTGAAGGGTGCTATATAAATGCAGGTTGTTGTGAAGACTTGATAACATTTGATGGTGTAGTCTGACAGAATGTTTTAATTTGTAGACACTGGTAGAAGACAATAAGGGTACAATATAGTAAATGATTTGAGATTTAGAAGTGATAAGTAAAAGTTGCATTGAGTTTTGAAATGTGATTTCTCTATGAACCTAGATTGCATTAAGAGTTTTATCAAGTCTGGTGTATACATGACATTTCTGTTATCTGCAACACACTGAGAGAAGAGAGATTTTTTAATGCATTAGGGCTTTGGTTCATAGGGTAGAGGGTATGTCTATACCTCCAGGTGTCATTGATGAACTAAACAAGATAGTCAACTTTCACTGTGCCTGGATTACTTTTGACATATCTGTATTTGTCAGATATTTTCTCGGAGCCACTTCAACCTCACTGGGTATATTTTTAGACGTTCTGTTTCGTTTATCGACTCCAAAAGGCTGAGTGGATCCACAGGGAATCAAACCTCATTTTTTCCATTCCGAAGTGCTATTTACTTAAAGGGGTTAAAACACTGCTTCTGTAAATCTATGAAACTTTACTTTTAGATTCACGAGTGTTTCTTATATATTAAAGAGGTGTTGGTGGTTATACACCAAATAAACAAGCATAAATGAAAAGCAGAGTTCATCTCAAAGAAGGAGGAGAGAAAGAACCAAAAACAGCTGTAAAAAAATCAGTAAATCAAGAAAAGGAGAAAAGTGCCCTAAATCTTTGATCCGTGTTGAATATCTTTGGAGGTTTTTTTTTAAAAAGCATTGCACGACACAAAGGCTGATTTCTGTCAACTTGAATTTAACTGTCAGCGAAAGGTATTGTAAAGCTATAAACCGTTTTCTTCTTCCGCTTTGCAGATTAAATCTCGCTCTCAGCTCCGACTCTCTGGACTCTTTCCGTCTGCGTATTGGTGTGGCTACGCGCTCGTGGATATCCCAGTGTATTTCGTTATAGTTGCAGTCATGCTGGGCTGTGTGATTGCATTCAATACAACGTCTTTGCTTCACGTAGGTGCTGGCATTTCCATGGTAAGTAAACCACAAGCAGCACCAATTACTGAAAACAAATTCAAGTACCAATGTTATAGCATACTTACCAGTCAGACACGTGCTTTCCTCGGCTTGAAATTCTAAGCTATTTTCTTTTGGAGCTTAAGATTGTGTAGAATCATGCAAAGTCCTTCATTTGGAAAACAGTTCTTTTTAAGAGAGGGCCTGAAAACAGCTTCCAACTTTGTTTTGTTAGAAAGCCTTCAGTGTGTAGTTTGATAATGCCCTCTATGGGCCACTAAGAGATAGTGTCGTGGTTTGTCTGTAATCTTTCTCTTGTTTTGCAGATGCTGTGTCTGATTGGCTGGGTCCCAGCGATGATGCTCTTCTCGTATGCTTACTCCTTCAGGTTTGACCGAATGCAATCTTCTCGAGACTTTTTCTTGATCTCTTCACTACTGGTAAGTGAAGCAGAATTAAGCCCAATAAAATGAAACCCATAGTTTGCCAGGCAGGTTTGGTTAGGCAATGCTAGTCAATCTCTCAGTGGTTCATGTGATCACCAACAGGTATGATTGGCAAGTGCAAAGAGATTAAAGGTTATTTTCCACTATGCCCTGTGGCAGTAGACAATCCCCCCCCCAAGGTTGATGTAAGCTGTAGAACTCCCTTGACTGAATATGAATCCACGTCTCAGAAGAGACTGTCTGTTCCGCCAAGAAGCTGACTGTAAAAAAAATCCAAATGTTAGCAGTTAAAGCACGTCATCTCGCGAGTGTCAGAGCCGCTGTGCTTTGCATGTGAACTGTTTCATATCTGATCTTAAAATGCGGATGCCTTTACTGGTCACAAAGGTGAATCTGGCAGTTCTGTCACTTTAACATTGATGAGCAGCATATACAGAAAAATACTTACACAAGCTTAATTCTTATCTCTTATTGGCATGCATTCACTTTTCAAAAAATTTTAAGCCAATTTGCCTCGTATTTCTGTCTGCTCTGCTCCCAGTGCTGTGGATATGGTTCCACAGACACGATCTGTGCCTTGCTCAAGTGTCCATTATTCATGTATGATGAGCCTTGGTGATGAGTGTTGGCAGCTGAACTCAACCCTGCTCTCACCCCAAATGCACACACGCACCTTCTAGCTTTCAAAAAATCTACATTACAGCATATAATATCCATTGTCATAAATATTAGAATGAGTTTGTGCTTGAACCAGATTTCACACAAGGCAGAAGTTTGACTCTATCTGTGTCTCTTACAGATCAATATTTTTTCCATTGTTCTAATACTTTTGATCTGGCTAATATTGAAGGAAACAGCTGCCACCATTGTGCACTGTATTCTCTCACTCCTCATTCCACCATATGTGTTCACAGGATGCTTGTGTTACACAGCCAAGGTAAGTAACAATTTTATAACTCGTCATTTTTTTGTTAAATATAATGTATTTATCAGAGAAGATTTCAAAACTTTGATGACCTTAGATTTAATTGCTGTAAATTGCATCCCCCCAGATTTTTTTAGATCACATGGACGACCCCATCTTAACAGTAGGAACATATCTGGAGTGGAGAAACAACATCTTGATAACAATCATCGCAGTAAGTAGTAAATAGCTAACTAGTCCATCGCATATGTGTACCTGAAGATGAAGTGACCGTGTAGTGTATGTAGCAGAGAGATAGATAAGATCCAAATATTCCAACTTCAGAGCGTGTGTCTGCCATCTGAAGCGCTCCAGGACGCTATCCCACGTGAAGGGTGCTATTAAATGCAAGTTGTTGTTGTTATCTATTTGGAAGTGATGTTTCAGGTGTTCATGGCTGGATCACAGGATGAGATGCTTTTGTTCAGATGCTGCTTGGGAGGCAGAAATTGATTGTGACTGGAGCAAGTATTTTTTTTCTACTGGTGATGCCCAAAGCAGTATTATTAATGATGCCTTCTTTTCCATTCCATCTCATAACCCTCCTTCAGATGAGGGAGGAAAGGTCGGAGCTTTTAGGTCTTCGATATAGGCAATGATGACAACAAAATTACAATTATAGAGCCAAAGGTCCCAAAGCGCTGAGACTGTATGCCCAAGGTTCTTACAGGACGTTTGTTAGGTTGCTTATAGTTGAATATTCTTAATATTTATATCTGGTTCTTTGTTAAAAATTTTGTTCAATTTATTAAAAATCCACATTTGGGAATTGCAAATTCATCATCTTGTGAATCATTATATACTTGTGAAGAAATGTTGTTTCCTGTTTTTCAGCCCTACATACAATGCGTAATTCTGCTGTTTGTGCTACGGCAGCTAGAAAAGACCTATGGAGGAAAGTCTATCCGACCGGACAAGTACTGCAGGTCAGTGCTTGGAAACCCAATTGATGAACTAACCTTTATTGAAAATGTTTCTTATGTTTTTCTGTAAACTAATTACAGTAATGTAACCTTTTAAATGTTCTTTTAATTACATTGTTACTCTCCCAGCTGGTTTAACCTCATGGTTGTAGACTCTTCTTACTGTTGAACATAATGTGTGCCAAATGTCACAACGTTTAATTAAATCTTTCAAAATACAAATTATAATTGACTGAAACCCACAACGATTACCAATAAACCTTTAAAGAAGGTATCTATGCTTATGGGGGAGTTGTTTGAACGTAAAGGAAATCACAATGTTAACTTGAAATTATTTCTGTAGGGGAAATGTGCTTTTCAAATTGAATTCAGTCAAGTAAACACAAGAGATAACAACAAACAACAACAAAATTACATTTGTAAAGCGCCTTTTATGTCAAGAGGACGTCCTAAGGCGCTGAAGATCCTTTACAACTTCAAGTGAAAGCTGAAATGCCGTTTCAGTTCCTGGACTGTTGGAATAATTTTTATTTTTTTGTCTCATCACAGAATCCTACCCTCAAAGAGTAAATTCAAGATAAATACAGAAGAACCCGAGAATGAGGACGACGACGTCAAAATAGAGAGGGCCAGAGTGAAAGAGGCAGTGACCTGTCAGAGCTGTGAGGAGGTGTGATTCTGTTGATTCACTCACTGGATTCACTACTCTAATAAAATGGAAGAGTAACTCATTTGCTGTTTAGATATACATTTAGGGTTTGTTAATCATTTGTGAATAATATTTAAAATAGTTGATGGAAGAAAGTGAAATTGGCCAGTCCATTTCAAGGGTCTGTTTCAAACTACAGTATTTATAGTAAATGACGTTACTGTTAGTGCCATTATTTTCTTGGTTTTCTGTAGTTAGAAGGCAAGAAGTGTGCAAACTGGTGCAAATTTTCACCAATATTATACCCGTACATTTAAAAAATAAACCGAGGTCTCAATTCTTGGGACATCCTCACAACGTGAAATGTAAGTTTGTATTGTAATTTTGTAATTCTATTTGTTGTTAATTTCTTGCAGAAGCCAGTTATTGTGGTCAGTAGCTTACGTAAAGTCTACACAGGAAAGTCACGAATGTGCAAGTGGTTTTCAAAGAAAAAAAAGAAAAATACCGTGGCCACGAAAAATGTCTCGTTTTGTGTGAGAAAAGGTAAATACAATGTTAAAATGGAGGGAGTAGTTTCTGTAGTTTATAGATATTTTTTCCAGTTCACTTATCCAAAAATTGTTCACATCTAGCCACCATTTCCTTCAAATGTTTGAAATTTAGATCACATCCTTCCTATGTTGAAATAATCTGTTTCACTTATTTTTTTTCTCTTCAGGTGAGGTTCTGGGATTACTTGGCCCAAATGGTGCAGGGAAAAGCACGACCATCTCTATGATTACAGGAGACTTGGAACCATCAGCTGGTCAGGTACGGTTGTGTCTCAACAGTTGTTACAAGATTTTGAAGCAAATAAGCCTAAAGATTTCCTGTGTGTACGTGTGGGGGTGGGGGATTGTTTGCACATGGAAACCAATATTTTCTTTAGCAAACTGCTCAGTTATTATAAGATCTCACAGTTAACTTTGCACACAGGATTCATCAGACCCAATTAGAATTCTGTTGACTTTATTTATTTTTTAAAAATGTTTATTTTGCAGGTGCTAATGGGAGATTACTCATCTGAATTCTCCCAGAAAAAAAGCCCCGTGGAGACCTTAGGATATTGTGCACAAGTAAACCCGCTGTGGCCTAAAATTTCTGTAGAAGAACACTTGGAAATATATGCTGCCATCAAGGGTCTTTCCAAAGAGGATGCAAAAGATGCTATTAAACGGTAAAGTCACTTCAGAGATTTAAGGACAAACTGTGAATCAATTTAGAAGATAGCCAAGGGTGCAAGGAAGACTTATTTTGAGAAAGTAATTGTACACCTCAGTTGGTATTGTGAGATGTGTGTATATTTCAATACAATTTTATAACACAATTTACATTTATATAGCGTCTTTCACGATGTTTCAAAGCGCTTCACATAACTGGCTGCATATTGTGCAAATAAGAGTATAAATTACTTTGAAAGGAAATTGAGCTCTTAAATATTTATCCACTTGTAAAGCAATATTTTGGGTTTGTATGACATCAAGAATAATTCTGGTATCTTATGTGAATGTTCTTTGGCAGCATTGTAAAAGCACTTGAATTGAAGGAACATCTTCAGAAACCAACAAAGAAGGTCTCCACAGGAATAAAGAGGAAAGTACGTATCTGGAGTGAGAAGGACAAATGTGATTTAGTTCATTTTATGTTAAAACTATCATTTGTACAGTTCTTCGTCTCAAGCAAATACTATTATTCCAGCACATATAGAGCAACGGTTGAGGCATTTGGGTCTGATAGCAGCCATTCACAAGCTTACTTCACACTTTGTTTTGATAAAGCCAGCTACAGTTATAAACGTTTCGTAGTGAATTGCTACTTATTTTGCTGTGTAGGGTAGATGTTTTCTCCAACGTGTTTTGTTTTCTTTCAAAGCTTTGTTTTGCATTGTGCATGCTGGGGAATCCTCATATTGTGCTAATGGATGAACCATCAACGGGAATGGATCCTAAAGCCAAACAGTTTATGTGGTGAGTGGCCAGTCATTTAAATCCACATGGAAGCGTGTTAGATTTAGTTGATTTAGATACTATGTTAAATGAGCCAATTCGTACAGTATTAGATGGCATAAAATGTTGGCCTTGGATTTTTTTTTAACTTTGTGCTTTTTGTGATACGTTACATATTCAGGCAAACATTTGGTCTGTGTTCAGCATCCTTATTTGTTAGATTTCAGACTTAAATCTTTGGTCCTTGCTTGGCAACTTGCACTGAATTTTAAAGCGTCTTGCACATGGCAAAAAGGATTATGTTTTTGATTGGGTTTCAGGAGAGCAATCCGTGCTGCATTTAAGGACCGACAGCGGGGTGCTATCCTGACCACCCACTACATGGAGGAAGCGGAGGCGCTGTGTGATCGAGTCGCTATCATGGTGTCAGGACAGTTACGGTACATCCTTTCCACCTCATACAAATGGTGGGGCAAAATTTAATAACAACTGATGCAAATTCAGCGCTGGTTGTATTTGTAAATTAATAATACATTTCAAATGTTGTTCAGGTGCATTGGAACGATTCAACACCTGAAGAGTAAATATGGTGGTGGGTACACACTGGAAATGAAACTGAAAGATGAGGTGGCAGAATTGCAAAGGATAGCTGAGATTCATGAGAAAATAATGCAAATCTTCCCCCATGCTTCTCGTCAGGAAAGGTAAGACGCAGAAACAGTAAGTTCTATTGCCATTAGCACCACTGTAGAAGTTTACAAAGAACTTGATGTATATTCGTATGGCATGATCCACCTGGGTGATGGGGAGGGAGCACATTTAATTTTGCATTTTATGACATGCAGTGTAGCAGAGGAGGTTTGTGAAAGTGGCAATGCACTTCCCCAGAGCACTTTAAGAGAAGAGTCAATTGGATGTTTAAAATGAAGAGGAGTAGGTACTTAGGAAGTAAACGGGATTAAGACTATGGAGAAAAGCCATGTAATTCTTAATAATAATAACAATCCTTACGTTTGATATGATGCCCTTCATGTCAGGAGGGAGGATGTATCAAAGCGCTTCACAGAATACATATCGCAAAGTGGCATGACTGACAGTGTATGTTGTGGGGAACAGACAGATTGGGTTAGTTGGGCTCAGCTACACAATAATGCTGCTTAGGTTGATGACAATTAAGCAGCATTTGATCACGTGCTCTCCTGTCATTCAAGTCTGTATGGAGAAAGGAGGGAACATGAGAGCTGAGGACATAGAAATCTAAAAATATAGTTGCTTCCAATTTAGACATGACAGAAGCATTCTTCCTTAATGGACATTAATATTGAACTAGCAACAAGAGATTGCTGTAAGAAAATACACTGTGGATTGTACTGAAAAAGCCTTCCATCCATTACACATTAGATTTGTAACCCATCATATAGATGTTGCATTACATTTTTGCAGAGGTGATCCCTCATTTTGTGTTTTTATTCCTGCCTTTTGTTTTTAGTTTTGCTGCCATGTTGACGTACAAAATTCCCAAAGAAGATGTGAAGTCACTCTCAGAGGCGTTTTCCCAGCTGGAGGAAGGTAAAAGCCATAACACTGAACTATCTGTCACACATATAACAATAATAATAATCCTCGCATTTGATATAGCACCTTATCATGTCTTTGAGACGTCTCACAGTGCTTCACAGAATATACTGTAAAGTGAATTGGCCGTATATTTTGTGGGTGAAATGCAGCAGTAAATTGCGCACAACAGTGCCCCACAATGCAGAATGATTGCTATGCGAAAGATTACTATGAAGAGTGTGTAAAATTCATTCCAGAAGTAACTTGAGTTGGTTCTAATGGTTGGTTTAGCAATTAGTTAAATTCCTTATACTTCAGTTTTGACGACAAGTCAACAGATGGAAAGGGTTAGCAATGAGCCTTGCATGGATATTCCAAACCCTGCAGAGAGGTTGTTTCAATCTTTAATGAAGCTGGAGAGGTAACATCAGTTGAATATCCAGAGCTATGAATTGACATGCCCGCCAACAATGAATATTTTATTTGCAGCTAAACATGAATTTGTTATAGAAGAATACAGTTTCTCACAATCAACACTGGAACAGGTAAAGCAGTTTTGTTTTTTACCTTATGTAGTGTCAATATTGTTCTGATTCATTTTGTTTTGCATTACTATTCATATAATTAATGTGAGTAATTGTGGTGCCTTGTTTGAGGTATGAACGAGGTTGATCTTGAGGACTACATTCAGCAACTAACTTACCTCGGTCCTTAAGGTGACTGATATTTAATAAACCATATTTAAGTTTATTGCAGTATGTTTAAAAAAAACTCTGTCATTTAAATATAAGCTTAAAATCTACCCCATAATGTATTGCTACATTCTGCTTATAAAAAGAACTGATCTATACTGTGCTTGCATGTAATAATTTGTCATTTTATAAATCCTTAGGTTTTCATGGAGTTTGCAAAAGAGCAAGAAAGTGGAGACGAAGACTATAAAACCATTGATACGAGCTTCCGATGGCAGCAGCTTCAGCAAAATGACTTGGACCCAATCCATGCTGTTGTACTGCCTACATAACAGGGAAACTTTAAAACAGCGACCTGTTGTCCTTTATTAGATCAGCAATTTCAATTGCCCGAGCTCTGCCAATAAGTAATATGTCAACTGAGAAAACCTTGGAATGGTTGAGAACTTGAGACCGATGTTTAGAATGGCCTTTTTCAGACATTCCTAAGCTCGTGGCACAGACAAGCTGGAAAACTTGCAACCAAGATGAACATAGTTTACTCTTTTGGGGAAAAAAATGTTTACTTGACTGTTTACCTGGGGTCAACTAGAAGTTACTGAATTTTAAAATTTCTTTAAATGTAGTTGAGCATTAATATCACACAGGTATGATACAAATGGCAATGAATGTGCATGTGTATTGTGCCAGGGATATCTCCTTAATGTGATACAGCAATATATCTTAATATGCAAAGCCCTGTCCTGATATTTGTATGCTGTGGTGTAGGGTAGGCTCCAAAGGGTGCACTACAGATGGGGCTCCAATCTCTCCTCTGATATGCCATCTATCTCAGTTCCTGTGACCACCCCCCCTCCTCCCCCCATACACAAACACACACATTTTAATACCAGGTCAAACTAAAAATAAGTGTTGATCTTTCCGCTTGGCTCAGGCTCCAGCATCCAGCATGATAACAAACCAGAATAATTATGAAAAAGAAAGTTGAAAGCCACTTTACATTGAAATCTCCCACTATCTGATAAAATGGAGAGATCCCCTTTTGGGTAAATTAAGTCGATAATCACAGCTCCACTGTAGTTGCACGTTACCTATTCTACGTGAAGACGCAGTACTATTAGCCTGTGTCCCCCATGACATTGTTTGAGTTAACATAGCTGAAGAAATCTGAGAAGGTGATCGAGCCCACATGATTAGCACTTCTCATTTTTCTACAGATGTACATGCAGATGGTCACAAATCAGGAACTTAGTGCTGTTAAGTTAAAATGTATTGACTTCTGTCTGGATCAGAAACCCTAATAAATTGATGTGATCGAGTACCCATATCTTTACAAAGGGATTCAATCTTCATGGCATAGGCAGGCAAAAGTTGAGCAAATTATCCACCCGGTTATGGAGGATGACCAATAATTGAGGTTCCACATTATGTGGACAAGAGTAGATTGTTTCCAGACAAATCAAATTAATCACACTCAATAATATTGTGATTACTGACATATTTAGGTTTATTGCACTTGCATGTACCGTATCTTATAAAAAAATAACTTCCTTCATATAATTTTTTTTATTATTGAGAGTTTAAAGAAGGCATTAGTTAAACCTAGGCATAAATATCCTAGACATGCACATTCACATTTAAACAAATCAACAATGTAAATTTACAATTGCACTGGGTTTCTGTCTGCACTCTGCCTTTTATAATGTGCCCACTTTTTTCGAGTTTATATATACATTTTGATGTTTATATATAATTAGTTCAGCCCAAACGTGCAAAGAAAATGAGATCTGAGGTTACGTTTATTTTAAGTTTAAGGATTCCCTACCAGTCCTGTGAAAATTGGTTATAACATCATGTTGCAATTTTAATCCCATTATCTGTCAGCCTCTTAGCTCTTGTGCAGTACACACTCAAACTTAAAATCAGTAATGGTTAGCATCTTATCGATATATGGAACTTGCAGTGTCTTACAGGCAGTCTTCCTGTTTGTGTTAATGTAATAAAAAGATGATAGGAGTAATGGATTGGGGCAATAGTAACTGCCAATGCAGATATCTTAATCTGATTGCTTGTCAGATTTAAAAACTGGCCTAATATTCTACATCACAAAAAGCTGTGATGCACAATCAGTAAATTCCAATTCCTGAATTGGGTACTGGCAAGAAACAAAACGTATCCTGACTTAATTTTAGCATTGGAAAATCACATCCAAATTCAGAATTCTTAAACAATACAGATCAACTTCCAACATGGCCAGACACATGAAAAAGTATTTACAGCCCTTATGCACTGCAACGTTTACATCTCCTTTGTTTGCATATATTTTAAGCCTTTTTCTAAATAAGTTCAGAACCCCAACTTTTGTGTGTTTTTATTTAGTTTCAGCGTATTGCGTTGAGTTAATGAATTTTCTAACTTGTTATGCAAATAGTTTATTTCCAGCCTATGGCTTATGGTTAAGGCGTGGACAATGCACTCATGTGTGTGTATGTGTGTTTTTAAAAAAGAATATGTTTATTTAAGTGTCGGGATTGTGTTTTCTATATTGCCTGAAAGATTCCAAGAATAATTTCTTCCTTAACATCTAATGTACAACAACATGTAGCACTGTAAATGGAAAATGATAGACGATGGAGGACCTAATTTCTTCTGACAAAATGGAAGCCACTTTTTGTGCATTAAAAGAATTGGATCAGACCAGTTCCAAATCTCAAAGCTGGTTCGTTGAGCACCTTGCACAGATAAGACTGATTATCTGTATTACGTGACCAGCATCAATCTGCTTAAGGGTGGAGTTTCCATTTATTCTGATGCGCTTCATAATCTTGTTCAATGTTTTTTGTTGCCTGCTTTCACAGAGTAAAATGCTCATGGTCGATTCAAAACGTTCACAAACTTGTTGCAAGTGTTTTTTATTTCAACATATATATTCTTGCAAATTAAACACCTTTGCTTTTATCTGTATTGAACTTCATTTGCCAGGGATCTGCTCAGACACACATGCTGTAGTCTTCATATCTACACCAGACAGTGCCTTTAATCACTTGGGCCAAGACATAATTTGAATTATAGTTCTGGAAATATTATAAACATAGTTCAATGTATCTAGGAACAGATGTTATTTAAAATATTGTTATTTAAAATTGTCGTGTGAGTGTTTTATAGTGTTTTGGAATTATCTTGAACCTGGAACTGTTTGCATGCTAAAGTCCTGTAAAGTCATCCCTAGTTTTTCATTTCCACTCCCGGGTGTAATATAAAATCGCCTTTGAATCTGTGGCCTGGAAGAGAAGTAAAGCAACATGTGGCCAGCATGCTTCATATGCAAACATATCTGACTCAAATTTTAATTTCATCCAGTCATTTAAATTTGCAGTTGAGCACAGACCAAGAATTAACTGGGAGTTTTGCTTTATTTTGGAGAAATTAATTACAGAGCAGGTCACAGGCGCGCACGTGTGTGTGAGATTTGCAAGTCTCCATCCAGTCTGAACTTTCTCTGTAGGGAAATAAACTGCTTATTCCTGAATTGGACGGTGCACTATTTGTTGCCTCTCAATGGCTCTTCTATGGGCTCCGCTCTGGCTCCAGGTGGCCTTTGCAGTGCGGCGCTAGTGGAAAATGGAATTCACTCCATTCGGTGTTGCAATTGTCTTGTGTGTCTCTACGTGCTTGTGAGTGTGTCTGTGTGTCTCTCTCCTCTATAACTGTTTGTGAACGTCTCTGTGTGAGTGTGTATGTGTGTCTCTTTCCTCTGTCTCTGTGTGTATGTCTCTTTGTGTATGAGTGTGTGTATCTCTCTCTGCGAATGAGTGTCTCTGGCTCTGTGTGTGTGTCTCTCAGGGTCTGTGTGGGGTGCTAGGTCCTGAGAGGCAGGAGGTGGTGAGCTCCTCTGGCCCTGCAGTCAGGACACTGGTCCTGAGTATTTCTTGGTGGATCTCCAGGTCAAAATTGGTGTCCATCCCCACCCCTCCCTCCGCAATGGGCAACCCAGTTTTTGTTGAAGAAGAAATCAATTAAAAAATGTTTTGCAACAATGTGTTATTTGCTCATGTTTTGTTTTTATCACTAAAGTGAAAAAGTGTAGGTTGGCAAAAAAAATGCCTCAATAGCACCAATCTACTGCAATTTACTTATTACACAGATGCAATGTAAAGCCCCCATTGTCACTGTGCCACAATCTGCTCTGCTTTGAATATTCTGTTTCATTCCATTTAATAAATACATAGGAAGCTGTTTTTGTAATGGCCATTCAACCCACATTGACACTATTTTGAAAGGGGTGGAAGGGGAAGAAGAGTTTCATTGTTTTTTGTAGCTCAAGCAGTGGCGCATTCAAATAAATCTGTAGCAGCAGATGTGATGAAAGCCACAACTACGTCAGCATGTACGTTTTCAAAATGAAATACATTGAAGTGACGCTTTTCCATAGTGGCTGACCTTGCAGATTTTTTGGCTCCTCTGGACACTACCATAACCCCTTAAATGCAAGTTTTCTCTGCATTTCCCTGTAGTCGTTGTATGACGATGAACCACTAAGCATGAAGATGGACCAAAAAGAACTATCATAGAGGAGAGACTACAGGAAACCGTCGGTTTACGTAGTTGATTCAGTCATTGAATGTTTTCCGCATTGTGAACATCTTTAATCTGACGGAGATCAAATGCCCATTTATGGTCTGAATGATTAAAGGCACAGATTTCTTTATGCCCTTCCTTTCTTCTATAAGATTCATGCATATGTATCCATTTTAGTTCTATTTAAAGAGTCTTGGGACTAATTGGAAACACAAAACATCGTATTTAATCTGCTTCGGGGACCGTAGGGACAGATCAAAGCGGCAACAAATGTTCCCGATCTGTGGTTTAAAAAGAATCAAAGATTTGGAAACTGCGATGAAGGTCGCTTTAATCAATGGCGAAAAAGCTCGGGTGGAGGAAATGGCACAGTTTTTCTGAGTTGGATGAAGATAAAAGATGAACAAGGTGTAATTCCTAGAGGTAGCAACTTACAACATTAATAGATATGCACATCATTGCCTGATTTATTATCACCTGAATGTTGGGAATGTGTGCCCTAAAGGCTATCTTCAAACACCATGTTAGAGAATATTCAAATTCAATATATGTAGCACAGCACAGTTTTATTTATAAATGACTCTTGGTAGTGGTTTCCTCCATTTTGACGTGCTCCTATCTTGCTCTGATGGTATAAAGGCTGAGGTATCAAAAGTGCTTTTGAAAGTTGCAACAAATTGCATTTTCACGTCGGGAGGGCGTTCCAAGGCACTGAAATCAGAAGGAAAGTTTCAAGGTATTTTAAACACAGCTCAGCCATCATGGCCAACAAGAGATCTGAGTTTCTCGAGGCTAAGATTCAGACACAACACCGGAAATATCAGACTGATCAATTCGTTCAATGTCACTGCCATTCCTTGGCCTTTGTGCTTGTGCGTGAGATGAAATAAGGGGGGAATGAACCTGTGATGTTTCCACAAACAAGCAACTATTGCTGTTTACTGAACACAAAATGGGAGCAAACCAATCTGTGGGAAGCACTGCCTGCTCCAGAACTGAACGCTTACTATGCGCTACCAGATTAGTCAACTGTATCTTCTGTATGTACTCAAGTCACTAAAATGTTGTTGCCAGACGAGAAAACCAGCAACATATTTCCAGCATGATTAAGTTGCAGCTTGCACCCAATATTCCTCGGCTTGTCATTTGCCTGTTCTGTGGCTACTACTAATCTCTCCAAAACCCAAAACAATAATAAATTGGTCATTTTCAACCCACGACTGTTTGTGGGACATTGCTGTGCGCAATTGGCTGCCGCGTTCGCCCACAAATATACAGTCAATTCACTTTACAGTGTGTTCTGTGAAGCGCTTTGGGACGTCCTCCCGACGTGAAAAGCGCTATATCAAATGCAAGGATTATTATTATTCAGCTCAGTGAAAACAGGACCTCGGTTTAAAGTCTCATCTTTTGTGAGAAAAAAATGGGATCAAAGGAAACTTAATGGGAGGCAATCTAATGTTTTCTGAACTAAATTCTACCACTCATGGAATAATACCTCTACACAAAGTTACCATTTTTAGTAGAGAATCGCGCAGAAAATTTTGGAGGAGAGGATAATGGTCAAGACACTGAGTGCAGGGCGACAAATGTTATACAGAATGTCTTTGTTGGTTTTCTTTGTAACTTATCCATTATAAGATGTACTGTTGACTGATCCTGAAATTATTGGATTCCAGACATTCCTTAATGTTAATTAAGTTCAATTTCCTCTTCAATCATCAGCACAGTTTGATTAACACAAGTGGTGGAAATAATTCATGGATAGGGCTTTTGCAACCATTTGCCTGTGTGGCAGGATTTAGCTGAGTAATGATGATGATGATAATAATAATAATAAAAACAATAATAATCATAATAATAATAAATAAATGAGTGCAATTCTGTTGAGGAAAACTGTGCTGTGTGCAAATAATTATACGCCTGAGTGAGCTGACAACCCTGAATATTTATGGAGGAAAACAATGTTTTGAGTGTCAATGCTGCCAAGTATGTCATGTTACCCAGTCTATTGACCACAAGACTCGCAGTTCAAGACTGATTCACACACATGACAACAATGGCTAACATTTGTATGCCCCGCTGCACACTGTATGGTAATTATAGAGTGGATGCCAGTTATTCATTTCTGGTGAGCGTTTGCTTATGCTCTGGTTAGAGTTGAGACAAAAACCATCGCCATCTAACTCTAACATAGTCTCCATAGTCTCCAATACCATGTTTCAAAAGATAAGACCACGAGTATGGCTTTCTCTTATGCCTCTGAATCCAAAAGGCCATAGCCTAAAGACTGGATTTCTGTGGCGGCGTTGACGTTTAGCCTACAATACACTGACTGAACAGGCATACATTGGATATTGCGGTAAAATATCAGGAGCTTCAGTAACAACATGTTAACGAATTAAAGGCACCAACACAATTCTTATAAATGAAAGGAATTAGTGTAGGTTATAGTAACTGTAAAAGACTAGTGAGGGCTTGAGCTCCTGCCCTTTAAAACAATGTGCCAGGAGCACTTTCTTCCATTTAATAAACCTTAACGATTTAATTAGCTGCCCTCATGACTAATGTTAAATCCACTGCTTGGGTCCCAAATACATTGGCAACATTCTAAGGTTACATTGGTTAATACTAGTAACTTCATTTAAAAGGTCTTTATTTTATTTCCATAAAGTTCTTTCTTATTCCTCAGTGATGTAATCTCATCTATGAGTGTGCCTCTTGCCATTTCTCTCATACACATTACACAAATCCCTCAGACGAATTTAAGGTGAATGATAGACTGGGATCTGAGGTGAATGCCAATTTTACCTGGAGGATTGTTGACCATGAAACTCCCTTCGCTTTTCATATAGTTCCATAGGATCTTCAACATTCTCACGAACAAGCTGACAGGATCTGTTTAATCTCATTCCAAGGATTGCACCCCCAACTACCCCAGCAATGTAGGATCAGCCTGAATGATGGGCACAAAGTCCTGAAGTGAGGCTTGAACCCACAACCTTCTCACAGAGTCAGAGGTGCTACCAACTGAGCTTGTCATCACCTTCCATCACCTCCGAAACATCGCCAGACTACGGCACTACCTCACCCCTCACGCTGCTGAAACTGGTCCACGCCTTTATCACCTCAAGGCTGGACTATGGGAATTCTCTCCTCGCCGGCCTTCCCGCCACCTCCCTCCACAAGCTGCAGGTCATTCAGAACTCTGCAGCTCGTGTACTGTCCCGCACCAGGCTTCGCGACTACATCAGTCCCACCCTCGCTCGCCTCCACTGGCTCCCCATCCCCCAGAGGATCAAATTCAAGATCCTCATCCTCACCTACAAGGCCATTCACGGCCTTGCTCCCTCCTACCTCTCTGACCTACTATCCCCCTA